AAATATCATTCAGACTTCTGAGTGTGAATAAAACAAACAAACAAAAACAACTGAAAAAAACAGAAACCAAAGAATTCTATAACCATAATAGGAAACACAGTGGACCCATAATGTCAAAATCTAAAAGCATTTAATCACTTTATATGAAAAAATAATCAATCAGTGACTATCATCTGAATAAGAAGAAAGTGAAGCCATTAAGGTTTTCATTTTCCTCTTTCGGGTAACAATTTTCGCACACGGATCACGCATAATTGATAAAAGTGACCTGAGTTTCTTCAAGTTCGTTCTTAGAAAGCTGCATGTCTCCAGTAAGTTCTCTCACAGTCATATTCAATAGAGATACGCGATGACTAAAGTTTATGTAACTTCTGCAGCTAATGCCTGAAAAATAAATGATAATAAGTAACAAGCCACTATTTCAATGCCTCCTTCCCCCAACCCCCTCCACTCAGAAAATAAAAATAGGAAAAAGTTATATATATAGGGTGGATACCTTCATTGGCGCAAAATAAACTATCTATAATTCATCTTTATGCAAGTAACCGCCTTTGAAGTGCTGTCCAATCTGCCACAGAAAATGCCGACTCACTATCTAAATCTCAGAATGGATGATATATTGAATATTTTCAAAAACTAAATAGTGCAGCCAAAAGCCTAGTTTCCTTGCTTTATTTTGCAAGCTGATATCTTTAACACACTAAACCCTCCCAGAAAAATATATACAATACCAGCTCATATAACATTACAGCCGTTCCCGTGCCATTTTAACTATGCAATTAACCCAGATTAACTCTTACACAATACAAAAACAAATGTGTGAATTTGAGATCAAGCCAAAGTAGTAAGAGAAAAAGTATGATTACCAAAAATGAGAATAGAGACCCAGGAATAGCCAATCATTTGCATACCTCATGTAGAATAGAAATCACAGCTATGTTGGTTTTGCCAGCTCCTGTTGGAGCACAAACATGCAAGTATCATATCAGCACTTTCACTGCAATGGTTTGGTATTCACATAATCAACAGAATCAATAACTTACTAGTATATTTTCATTAGTGTAATAAAGAGTACGGAATATGCGGCTCTGAATACGGTTCAGAGACTTATATCCACGAAAAGCAGCCTGAGCGAATTCATGTGACTTCGTTATCTCAATATGACAGCATAAGACAGTAAACAGAAATAGAGGTCAGTAGGAGATAAAAGAAATAGCAAGCAAGGACAATCCTATTTGTTTAACCACCAGAAAATGTGCAAATTATTATGGCTAGTTTGTCAGAGAACTCCAATTGCATCACAAATTCCATAATGTTAATATATATTCATACAATTATCTTACACACACTATATACATGTCACCTTTGCTCCTTCGCACCAGCAAGCTTCGTCTGTCTTCATTTGGAAAAACAAGGACATGACCCGCCCTGGCGCCCAGACTCGCCCAGGCCGCCTAGGTGCCTCCTAGATCCGCCCAGGCCGCCTAGGCGCCGCCCAGGCAGCCTAGGTGGCGCCTAGATCCGCCCAGGTTGCCTAGGCGCCGCCCAGGCCTCCTAGGTGCCGCCTAGATCCTCCCAGGCCGCCTAGATCCGCCCAGGCCGCCTAGGCGCCGCCTAGATCCTCCCAAGCCGCCTAGGCCCCCCCCTAACTCCCTGGTGTCGGTGTCCTCCCCCCTAGCGCCTAGGCCGATATCTCGAACACTGCTCAAAACCTGGAACGGGCTTGCTCTGTGCCCTAGACGTTCGATATGATGAGTTCGAGTCCAATTCGTCAGAATATTTTTAAAAACCAAGTATAGCCGCACGGCTATACTATTTTTTTCCAAATTAAGAAAAGACCGAGTAAAGCCGCCCGGCAATACTGGTTTTTAAAAAATTAGGTTAAAATTGGTATAGCCGCGCGGCAATACTATTTTCACAAAAATATGAACCACCATTCTAACCTTTCTAAGAGAATGGATTCATCTTCATAGTAATCTTTGGATCTACCATATGAACCACCTTTGGCTACAGTTTTTTCTCTTATTGTTCCTTTTTGTGTAAAATTTGAATTTTATAACTATTGTGCACGAATTATAATAATTTGAAAAAAATTTTATAATCACAACAACATGTCATGTGGATATGTACACAAGCAATAAAATAACTTCTCAAGCGGGTCAGCTAATTACTAAAGTATTTTCATGATCACAAATTTATTGATTCAATTTAGCACTTCGGACATAAATTTGTTTTTGTAAGGCTCCGTTAATATAATATTTTAAACGTATAGCCGCATGGCTATACCCTTGAAACATCGTAATCTGAATTTCTCTTTTTTAATTACTTTATTTTGTAGTTATGTTTAATTATTATTTACTTAGTCAATAATTAGTATTTAAGTATTTTATTAAAGAAAAAAATTAAAAAAACCAATTACTATTTATTAAGTAATATATTTATGAAGTTAATTAAAATATTTAATACTAATTATTCACAAAACAAATAATGACTAAAACATAATTACTAATGAAAGTAATTAAATAAGGCTAAGATTTTATTTAATTACAAAAAGAAAATTTAAAATAAAAATGTACTGACCTGTAGATACTAAGATTTTTTGTAGGGTTAGAAACTTCAGTGGTAGCATTGAGTCTGGTCGTTTTTTCAATGGTCATGTAGGAAGGAAGCCAGCTAACTCTTTTATTGTTGTTCATTTGATTTTCTTGCAACTTTTCATTTTTAACATTTTCTTGCAACTTCTTCTTGGAATAGGCTTATGGAGTGCACATGAATGGCTACGTTGAAAAGGATGGGAAGAAGTTTCTATGGATAGCGAAGAGAAGTCAACAGAAACCCACTTATATTATATGTATCCAGGGATGCTTGATCATCTAGTTGCTGGTGGACTGGTTTGTAACGAGCTTTGATCTTGCTTTAAGGCAATTTAGTTTCTATTCTATCAGAGGCTTATACATGTCACGTACGTTCTATCCAATCCCTTTGCCCTGTTCGAAATCATCAATATCAAATTTTCATAAGACCTAGTTTGGTTTGGCCTGTGCATGTTCAGATGCAAGCAGAACAATAGCCTGTGGCCTGTGCATTTGCTGACAACGCAAATCAAAATACCACGCACCAAATATTCCACCCAAATTTAAATAATATATTTCTTTTTTCTACTTACAGTAATTGAAAGTTCTATTGAAAGGGATGAGTTTTCAAAGTCATTCTTAATTATCAAAACAATCCAAAACTATATATTCACAAGGTCTGAACAAGCAGAACAAAGTTGTTCCACATAAACTTGTGGTGGGCAAAAATGAGAGCAAAAAGAAGAGAGAGCACTCATTCCACAATTTTGAGCCAATGCAAAATGACTGTTCCAGCCCATCAAAGTTCAGATAGAGACCTGTGAAATGGCCCCATACTTTCCAGCCAGCAGGTACAGAGAGTTCCAAAATGCTCATAAGATCTTTGGTTTGAGCAATATCCAAAAGATCATGGCGACAGGCAGCTGCTGAAGCATTCTCACGGAAGGGAATGCAAGGAAAAATGTGTGCGTGGTTGTCTTGGCATTATCAGAAGTTTCAATGCCCAAATTCAGGGACTTGAAAGAGAACTCCATATTATGAAACAGCACCTAGAACTTTGCAAGAGAAGGAAAAAAAACCACTCAAAAGAAGAAGACCTGCAGCATGATCAATCCAATGGTCTCAATTTCCCATCACCAATCCTCCCTGATCTGGTAAGACTATGATCTTAATTTTTCTCTGCCTCCTTTTTTTTGGTTTAAAAATAGTATTGCCGGTCGGCTTTACGCCGCTCTTTTATTTTAGTTTTTTTTAAGAAAGTATAGCCGGCCGGCTGTACGCGGATTTTCCCCTTTTTTAAAAGGAACTAATTTTTTCCAAAAATAGTATAGCCGAGCGGCGTCACTCGGCTAAAAAATTAGTATCACCGACTGGCTATACTCGGTTTTTAATTTTTTTTACAAATAAATAGTATAGCCGTGCGGCTATATTCGGCAGAATACAAAAAGAAAATCAAATTCAGAAATGAAAGCTACCATGACAAACCCACGATTACAGTGTTCAATCGGACATAAGAATACCAGTCTTCTCATGCTTATCTTTGCAATTGAAAGAAATCGTATAGCCGATTGGCTTTTCTTTTTTTTTAAATTTTTTTAAAATTAGTATAGCCGTCCGGCTTTACCTTTTTTAATTTTTTTGAAAATATTATCGCCTCCCGGCTATACTCAGTTTTTATTTTTATTTTTTTAAGGAAATAGTATCGCCGACCGGCTATACCGGGTTCTCCCGGTTTTGTAAAGAAATAGTATAGCCGTTCGGCTCTACGCGGTGCTTCTTTAAAGAAATAGTATAGCCGAACGGCTATACTGTGGTTTTAATTTTTTAGACGAAATAGTATAGCCGCCCGGCTAGACTGGATTTCAGTTTTTTAAAGAGAAATAGTATAGCCGCGCAGAATACAAAAAGAAGATCGACTTCAGAAATGAAAGCTACCATGAGAATTCTCATGCTTCCGCAGCTTTGAACACCTTTCCACAATCCTGGCATACAGGATGCTTCTGACCTCCAACGTTAGCCGAAGGATCATCCTCATTGTGGAGTTCTTTCACACGCCTCCTCATGTTATCTTGGGAAAAACAAACCCACGATTACAGTTTTCAATCGGACACATAAAGAGTTTCTCCTGGTGCTGAAGAATATGAAGATTTATCATTTATGTGGTCCTTTCTTCTGAAGCTGGAACGACAATCATCCACCGAACAAACGTATGGCCACTGTAAAGATTAAGCTAAATGAATTCAGGAACCAATAACCATAGTTTCAAAATACAAGTGAACAAGCATTCAATTCTAACTGCAGTACGTGATTGAGGTTCACTTGATGGAGCTTCAAAGGAGGTCTCCCACCTGATACTGGTCCATTAAAGTCAGAAACCTCTCGCATTTTGGAGATCTTTGTGTGGGATCCAATGCTTTAATGAAGCTATCAAACTATCAAACTAATCGGTAGCAGACAACACCACAAGGGAATGGCTTTGCATTTGCCGCTTGAGATATGCAGGTTTCTTAAAAGTAGCACCACATTCTTGGCAAGTATTGGATTTTTCCTCTCTCCTTCCCCATCCCCATCAGCCTCTTCGGCCATTTCCATCTCTTCCTGTAACAAAAGTAACCAAATTATAAATAAAAATTAATATAATCAATCTGAAGACAACCCAGCTTCAGATTTTGTTTAAAATACAAAAACCAAATGAATCCACAATAGTAAATCCCTCAAATTCGAAAACCCAATTCATAACAATTCATAATTGGACCATAGAAAACCAAAATTAAAAAGGACTGAAACCTAGTGGTGAGAAGCAATCAGGTTCTTTTGGACCTGCAGATGCCACAGTACAATAACAATCACAACATGTCAACATACTACAAAATTGTAAATACAAACGCCCAGATACATCTCAATGTACATGTTTATGCATTGCATTGCATATCACCACAGACCCAAACACATATGTAAATATACATATACTAATAACTCATCCAATCCAGACCAGAAATAGTAACACACATGCACATAAACACATAAATTCATTATTAAATACAAATATACACTGCTACATACATCTATACACATATTTACAGTATTACCTGAAGAAGCAGCTCCATCTCCACCAGAAGATATACCAGCAGACTGCAACTGGTTTGGCTACTTTATCAGCTTCCTTCGCATTAGCCTATGCATAGACATGACGCCCAGTCTTCTCGTGCTTATCTCTCACATGCTTGTTTGCAAATCTCATGCCACAACCCGAAAAGCTACGGACAAAGGTTTATGTTCAAGGTGTACTGCCTTGACATGTTGATGGAGATTTGATTTCTGCAAACGTATAAGCAAAATCAGAAAAGGAAACAATAAATAAAAAATAAAAATAACAAACTAACAATGGCTATACTCGTTTTTAAATTTTTTTTTAAAGAAATAGTATATCCGCACGGCTATACTCTGTTTTCTTAAATTTTTTCAAAGAAATCGTATAGCCGAACGGCTAGACTCTGTTTTTTTAAATTTTCTTAAAGAGGTAGTATCGCCGTGCGGCTATAACCGGTTTTCCAAATTTGTGGTTTTTTAAAGAAATAGTAGTCTTCATCCAAAAAAAGAATAATAATAATAATAGTATAGTCGAACGGCTATACTCTGTTTTCCTAAATTTTTAAACTGTATTCTCGGTTTTTCCGATTTGTTTCAAGCAATAGTATAGCCGCGCGGATATACCAGACTTCCCCAATTTTTTAAAGAAATAGTATGGCCGTGCGGCTATACTCGGTTTTTTATTTTTCATAGAGAAATAGTATAGCCGTTCGGCTATACTCTGTTTTTTCTAATTTCTTTTTTAAGAAGTATAGCCACACGGTGTTACAAAAACTGCTCTTTTTTTTAATAAATAAATAGTATAGCAGCACGGCAATACTCGTTTTTTTTTTAAAGAAATAGTATAGCCACTTGGCTATACTGGGTTTCTTCCAACTTTTTTTTAAAAGAAATAGTATAGCCGTGCGGGTAGACGGGACAATTTATTAAAAAAATTAATAAAAGGACCAAAAATGTCCAACAACTCCTTGGCTAACTACAATTCGTCAAATGGATATCATCGATATTCAAGGACCCCAAATTGATTCTGAGCCAAACTCCATTGACCAAAAATACAATTAACCCATAATTATTTATCTAACAACTTCTGTTCATTTGTTAAATAAAAAGTAAAAATAGAAATTGCTAAATTATAAATTTAACTTTTGAAGTGAGACCCAGTGAATGAGGAATTACTAACGTGAAGTTACCGATTTTTCTCTATAAGTGAAGTGTAATTATTTTGAGTGCTTGAACATTATATATTTCGATAGTGACGTATAGACACCAAAATTGCTAAATTATAAATTTAACTTTTTACAAAGGACACCTGGAATTGATCAACAATAATTCTGTCATTTCCTTACAATAAGAAAACAAATATATAATCATATTAATTAAGGGATTGGGAATTGTTGCCTAGCTGCATGCGGCAAGAATGTCTTGCTCCAAAAAAATAAATGACAAATTATGTCTTGCATATGTAATAATTTTAATTTCAAATAATAATAAGATTGTTTCAATTGCTATTTATATTGCTTTGTGGACTTTATTTCTTTCTTTCTTTGCACGCGCGTGTATATATATATATATATATATATAACTTCTTTCTAACTACAATAAAGCATGGACTCATCAAACTATCCATATCAATTTGGAGGATGTAAGTCAAATTTATTAATAAATCAAAGCGCAAATATCGAATTTTCATAAGACCTACTTTGGTTTGGTCCTGTGCATGTTCAGATACAAGCAGAACATGAATAATATGAATAATATTTTATTATGCTTAAATAAAATGTGCTCCACGTGTGTCATGTTATCTTTTTTTTTTCCTAAATCTATATATTCTATATGTATAAAGCAAAAGATATAGAATGCTGAAACATTCAAAATATCAAAAAATGCTCATGATTAATGCAAACATTAAAAATTGAAATTATTAGCCAAATGGAATAATTAATACCACGTAAGCACCTTTTTATATATATATATATATATATACAATAGTCAACGTAACTAATTTGTATAGCACAATGGGCATTGAAAAGAGAATTACTAAAGAGTGAGTTAGTAAACGCATCCATACCGTATTTATTAATATTTTGATGAATGATTTTTTGTTGTTGAAAATTTTAAGTTATCCATCAGGTAAGAGCTAATTAAAAAGCAATTTATTTAATGGTCTTTCATTATCAAAATAAAGCCAAGCATGCAGTAATCAAACATATTAATTTGGCAGAGAGATCATATATAACTCGTAGGAACTGAAGATGGGATGGGGTTATAAAACGTACCTACTCTCAACTCTTTTATTAATATTTAATTTTGTTGATGAACTGGTCTGAGATTTGAGTTTTCTCAGCTGCCTTGTGACCCTTTGAATTTGAACACCATGAAAGGCCTCGGTTCCAGGAAAATACTAATATTCAGAAAAATGAAAAAGGTGGTTACAATCTCACATCACAGCCAACGAAACCCACCAAGAGGGAAAAAAAAAAAAAAAAAAAAAAAAATACCTAATTTTTTGTTTTTTTATTTTCTTTGAAGCATTTCTTTGTAACGCAAGAGAGAGTCCAGCCTTTGCAGCCTGAGCTGCTGCTTAAACCTGTTGATAAAATCATCAGCTTTCGCGTCAACCCCTTCGTCGCCCCCAAACGACCTCGTTTTCTCCACCCTCGGCCTTCTGTCGTCCCCTACGTCGTCGTTTCCTTCAACCCTTCCCAGCGGCGATTTCTCGCTAACAGACTTTCTTATCTGCTCGTGATGGTGCGCCGGAGCTCCACCACTCGAGTCCGACTTGCTCCGATGAACCAAATTCTCGCTCCTCGGGTTCGGATCATGGGTCTCGTGCTCGGACTCATTCGGGTCAAGATGTCTAGTTTCTGTGTCAGGCTTTTCCGATCTCAACAGAGTGGAGAAATCCATCGACCCGAGCCGTTCCAAGAGCGAGGGAGTCCGAGTTAACCCGGCCGGGTTTACATGCTCTGGTGCCACGTGTTCGGGTTCCGGGTTGGGTTGTTCGAACTTGTAGTGTGAGAAGTTGAAGGACCTGACCCGGTCCAAGAGCGAAGGCGTACGGACGAGCTGGTGCGAGCTGTGAGGAGTGAGATGATCTTGATGGTGCTGTTCAGGGTTTTTGTGGGTCCCAAAGCGAGAGGAGAGAACGATGGTGCCGATCACGAGGTTGACGAAGAGGAATAGAGAGGTGGGCGTGAACCAGTTGATCATGATGGACAAAAACGAGGACGTTGCTGGGTCTGCCATGGTGTCTCTCTCTCTGCGTTTCACTTTAATCTTGTGAGTTTCAGAGAGAAAGAGAAGAAGAGAGAGAGAGATGAGTTTGTGTTTTTTTTCCTGCGTGTGTTGTGTTGTTGCTCGGATGAAGTAAAGACATTTATATAAAGGTTAGAGGTGACGTTTTTGTTTCGTAGTGAATTTCGAAGGAAACAATGTCGGGGTGTAGGGCCTCTCCTTTTATCATGTTCCACGTGTTATTATTAATTTTCATAGTAGGTTGATGCATAAGTTATAACTTATCAGCCCAATAAAACCATATTAATAAATCTTTAGGAAGAGGGGATTGGATTTTATCCCCTTATTATATCATCTTAAAATCTCTGGTGAATGACAAGTTCATGTTAGGAAGACTATGTTTTAAGGAGATATTATTTTAATTCTATCAAATATGTATGAGTTTATATGTATATGTCAGATTCACTTTGTTGTTTTCCATACTCTTCAACACACTCTCGTTTTCTTCTTTTTCATTGTCAGTTGATATGCATATACTACTTTAATTCAAAGTATAATAAATAACTCGCATTTTTTTATCAGTGATGATCGGTAACTTTCCTAATTTTGGTCGAGTTGATTTAGGACATGTTTTATATGAATAGTAATTGCAGCAAGTTTCCCACTTGTTCCGAACATGTCCTAAATCAACTCGATCATGTTGACAACTTTTCCACTGTTTTCTGAACATATATAGCTGACAAAAGATGACATATCCGGAGGTGATGTTTAGTGCTAATATCATATATCCCGCCATGAAAACTCAACATGAGTGATAATTAAGATGAATAAGGTAGCATTTGTTGTTGCTTATGATAACGTAAAGAGTAATTCATCGTCTTGAGTTATTACCTCAAATGAATATGCGTGCTATTACCATTAAAATTAAGTAAAGTGATCAGCAGTGTGATAACGAACCAATATATAATTGAAGGACATCTCTCCAACCTAACTTTGACTTAGATCATGAAATACACATGTGGCCTCCACATAAAGGTCAACTTCAAGATGCAATCGATTATGGCGCTGAAGACTTTTGCAAGTTAGAAAACAAAGATTTAAGCAATATGGACAATTTATACAACTGTTTGTTTATCATTGACAGCAAGGATACTAACTAGGTTTACCTATAATCGCATGCATGGACAGCGCATCTTTGTACCTTAGGATAGGAGGAGTTAACTAATTACTATTATGGGCAAAATGGTCATTATCATCCGTCTAGTTTTGGAGACATTTAAGTTTGGAATTTATTTCTCCCACCCGAAAGAAAGACAAAAGGGAAAAGATGACATTCGTATAGTATGTAGAACAAGTTGCATCACCTTATAGTGTTTTAATTACATTTTGTGGGGTGCATGAGAGTTGCAACTCAAATGATTGTGTATGAGATTCGTCTTGAATGCCCCTTTCTCTTATGTCAAAAAACATATAAAGATGGTACCTTTTGTGGTTGGTATAACATTAATGTACAGAAACCATGTGCTTCTTCTTATCTTATAGTCTAAAGCAGACAATATTTTCAGAAAATTTAAGTCACATTTATGCAGATTAGACACCCTTTTAAAAAAAAGACTACTTTAAATTCAATATTTTCAAAAGGTGACTTATGGTCTTGTAATGAAAAGTCGAGGAACGCTGCGTGTCTAAAGAAAGAAAAAGGAAAGAGTCCATCATGTCATTCCATCGACTTTTACAAAGTATAGACCCAGTAAATTATTTTAATCAACGATTAAATAGTATTGAATATTAAATAAGTAGAAAGAAGACCAAGACCAAGACCAAGACCTGCGTCTGCAGTCAACGTGATCGTGTATGCAGTCAACATATATTTAAGGGGGTTTTTCTAACTTATATTGTTCTATTTTTTGTACATTCACACTTAACCAGCATGTGCACTGATTGATATATATGAGTCAATAACCATGTGACAGTATCGGCTGCTTAAATTAGACGGGCCCACATTATCTTTAGACTCATTTTCAATGATGAAGGTGTGAACGTATTTTCCATTTTATCACCTAATTTTTCAGAAGAATTTAGATGAAAATTTAATAAAATACAAGTCATATTTAATGAAACTGTCTCGCTCATCTAAGGACTTAAAAATGAAGTTCTATTTAATAAAGGCCATTGGAGTAATCCAATGACACAAAGATTGGATTTTGTTATTGCGGGAAAAAAAAACAAGGCGAAATATTGATTCTATTATCCGATTGGTGATGGGTTGAAGTACAAAAGATAAGTTTGTGAAGCAACGATAGAGATTTCTATTTTGTTGATTGTTGGGTAGGTTTTCATCTCTTGTCAATGATATGGGTGAGCAATTATTGATAATAATTGTGTTGATTGTTCCATTCAACCAAAATACCTCCAATGAGAGAAAGGAAGATGGTTGGGGAAGAAAGATGAGTGTTTCTGCCGAAAAAACATGGCAGAGATTCGAGAAAATTTAGTTAAGAATTTATTTCTCCCACCTAAAAGAAAGATAAAAAGAGAAAAGATGACGTTTATAGAGTTGCATCACCTTCTAGTGTTTTAATTACATTTTGTGGGGTACATGGGACTTGCAACTCAAGCAGTTGCATATGAGATTTCGTGTTCAAATACACTTTTCTCTTAAGAAAAAAAAAAAAAAAAAAAGCGTGGTTGGTATAACGTTAATGTACATAAACCATGTGCTTCTTCTTACCTTGTAGTCTAAAACAGATAATATTTCAGAAATTTTAAGAGTCACATTTATGCAGAAATTTTAATAAAAAAAATTTATAAAAAAAAAAAAAAAGAAGAAGAAGCATGTGATCAGCAGATAAAAATTGAACAAACTTGGAGAGAGCTAGGCAGCTGCTAGCAATATATGCTTTCTGTATCCAGAAAAGTGCTCAAAAGAATTTTGTTTGTTTATCCAAATGTTAATACTCATCTCTCTCTCTCTCTCTCTCTCTCTCTCTCTCTCAAGTAGTCAATGTCTCTTTGAGACTCTAGCCTGCATCTGCAACTAGTTATATTAGGTGAATCATTTAAGAAACTGGCAGAAATTTGTCTAGATGTGGGATTTTTATATTAGCCTTGGAAATGTATAATGTAGAATGAATTGCTCTGTTGAGGCTAATTGACATAGGTAATTAGTTGGTTTGTAAGTCAGTCACAATTACACAGCATAGCATTGATATGATTGTGCTTATCTCTTTGTAGATGTCTTTGTTGCACCAAGATGGAAGTGGAAATTGTCTAAGTGACCAAAAGAATTGTATAAAGATCAAAAGTGAAAGTGCTTTTTATTTTACCAAAAGAATTGTATAAAGATAAAAAGTGAAACTAATTTTTTACTAACAAATAGTTTACCAAACGCCAAACTGCTTTACTTTATAGCTGATTTCTCATGCAACAAATATGAAAGAGATACAATACCAAACTGGCCCTAAATATTATTGAATTATTAAATATGCGGAACGAAGACCAAGACTTGGGTCAGCAGTCAATGTGATCCCATATGCAATAAACATATATTTAAGGGTTTTGTTTGTCCTCACATTCGAATGGTGAAATTAATTCCCGCTTGGAGTTCGACTTGCCCCTGGCCACAAAGTGCTTCCAATGGTTTCGAATCTCTATCATTAAGATACTAAATAGCTCGCCAGCTGGTAGCGGCAGTTTGCCAATAACACCACACCTTGTACTTTAGGGGTTTTTTTTTGTTCCTAACCTAAATTGTTCTATTTTTTCTGCATTCACACTTGACCAGCATGTGCTCTAATTGATATATAAGTCAATAACAATGTGACACAGTATCATTTGCTTAAATTAGACCGGACCACATTATCTTTAGGCTAATTTTCAATCAGTGATGAACACATTTTCCATTTTATCACCCAGTTTTTCAAAAGAATTTAGATGAAAATTTAATAAAATACTAATTTCCCAGAGAAACTTGCGAGCCACTCATGATGAAAATTTGGAAACTCTTGGTAATTATATTCCTTGGAAAAGTATTCTTCAATGAATTTTTTTGGTTATAATATTGAAGCAGTCAGAAATGTACAAGCATAAATCATTACTCTTTGGCTAAGTTGGATTATTCTGTTGAAAAATTCATATCGATTCAAATGACTTGAGGGTTTAGTCACAAAGAAGAACCCAAGAAAGATTCAAGAGTACTTTCAATTCTTGAAATTTCAAGATCAAACCCTAAGAAAGATGCAAAAGTCCAATCACTCCACCTATGAGTAAAATCAAAGATTTACAATTCCCAAAGAATTTTCTTCAATAACATGAAGAAAAAAAAATTGACATTAGAATATTTGCACAAAAATGGATGAAAAATCAACTTCATCATCGGATGAGATCGAAGTGGAAACAGAAGATGAGACTTCAAAAATAAAAAGTACAAGGACAAAAATGAAAGTTCAGATAACTGCAGGGGCCATTAGTGAAATGTTACAACTTTTTATTTTCAGAATACACATAAAATTTTGGCAAAAAGTCACTTTTGGTCCCTGTAGTTTGCCACTTTAACCACTTTTGTCCCTGTAGTTTCAATTTGATCAATTTTGTCCCTGTACTTTCAATTTCGAGCAATTTAAGGACAAAAGTGAGTTTCTGTCAAATGTATGTAACTTCTGTTAGTTTTTTGTCATGTGCCCCTCACGTGGAGGGGCAATTTTGTCCAATCATGCGCAGCTTAAGGTCTGCCTAGCTATGGACTCCATTCCAAATTAGACTTTGGGGATTTTCTGGGTTGGGTTCGTCAAAAATTGTGATTTCTAGGTTTAGAATTGGTTCAATTCATAGGATTTTCTTTTTATTGTTGCTCCAAAACCCCGCCCACTCTTCAGAGTGTTCAAAGTTATGATAAAAAATGATAGCAAGACATAAAACAACAAGAACCAAATCAGTTGTAAGTCGACTTATTGCTCTGCAATCTCAACCTCGCCAACACCACAAACCCCCCCCCCCTTCAAAATTCATATCCATTTCTTCCTTAGTTTTTGTTTTGGTTTCATTCAACAACCAACCAAGCCCAAAAGCACGAACAAACACTAGCCAACACCAAAGGAAACATTAATGGCACACAAACACAAAAACCAAAAACTAAAAACATCCACAAAGCCAAAGGGGACCAAATCACAGCCTCAACCTTCTTCCTCAGTTTAATCAACCCATTTGACAACGAAGTCCAACAGGCCCAACAGCAAACCAAACAGTTGTGAAGACTGATTCGAACATGTGGCTAGCCGGGCAATTGGTGAAGATCGAAGGAAGAGTGGCAGCTGAAGCAGACAAAGTAGGTGCTAACAAATGCATCATTGTGAATTTGAGTATAGAGCCGACGACGAGAGTCGAGAAGACGAAGTTGAACTCGTTGATGGAATTTCTCACCCTCTCCTTGCCCTCAATCAAAATTTTTGAAGAACCCTAACCCAGAAAATCCCCAAAATCGAGTCTAATTTGGAATAGAGAAAGGGTAGCTTGGCAGACCTTAAGCTGCGCATGATTGGACAAAATTGCCCCTCCACGTGAGGGGCACATGACCAAAAACTAACAGAAGTTACATACATTTGACAGAAACTCACTTTTGTCCTTAAATTGCTTGAAATTAAAAGTACAGGGACAAAATTGATCAAATTGAAACTACAGGGACAAAAGTGGTTAAAGTGGCAAACTACAGGGACCAAAAGTGACTTTTTGCCTAAAATTTTATATAAAATAAATAAACAAAAAAGTTCCAAATGATTTTTACAAGGGCCTAAAATTGGGCCACAAATCAACTGCCCTCCAAAGCCCAAAATAGCAGAAGCTTAAGCGCGCCGAGTACCTCAGGCCCATTAACTCGCCATCCATCTTCCGTCTTCAACCTCCAGACCCCGCCTCTTTCAGTCTCACTCCTTCCCATGGCTCCTCCGAAAATTTTACTCTGCGGCGACGTTTTGGGCCACCTCAAGCAGCTCTTTAAACGAGTCGCTTCGGTATATATATATATATATATATCTATCTCTACCTCTGTATCTTTTTTTAGCTCAACTAATTTTCGATTTCTGATTCTTACTGAGTTAACTTGTTCTAGGTCAACAAATCGGCGGGTCCGTTCGACGCTTTGTTCTGCGTGGGCCAGTTCTTCCCCGACTCGGCGGACCAGCTCGACGAGTTCAATGACTACATTGAAGGCCGGGCACAAATTCCTCTCCCAACCTACTTCATCGGAGACTATGGCGTTGCTGCCACTAAGGTACTCTTGGCCGCAACGAAAGATTCCGGGAACCAAGGCTTCAAATTGGACGGCTTGAAGATATGCAACAATCTCTACTGGTTGAAAGGCAGTGGCAAATTTAAGCTCCATGGTATCATCTTAAGTCTCTGCTTGGTACTGGGAAAAATAAAGGAGATAACTTTGTTTTTTTGGGCGTGAAAAAATGGAGGGAACTGGAGATGAAAATTTTGGTTTGAAAATTGTGCTTAAATAGAATTCAGCAGCTTACTCTAAGTTTGATGATCAGTTGTATTAAGCTTAGCTGAGTGCGTTTTCCATTAGATTACATTTGCTATATTTTGCTTAAGATCGGATTAGTTGTTGCTCAGCTTAACTAGGAATTACTTGGGTCACACTTAAGTCTGATTGAAGGCCAGTGTTAATATACGGCTTTGGGATTAGAGTCATTGGGTGTGGGAATAATAGAGGAATGTGTAAGGGGTTGTAATAGCTTATGGGAGTTTGCTTTATTTTAGGATATGTGCTGATAGTTTCATTTCTGTTTATAGCTAATTACTGGCACTCATTTTTCAGGGTTATCTGTGGCGTATTTATCTGGTCTCCAATGTTCGGATGGTCAACAGTTTGGGACGTATAGCCAGGATGATGTTGATGTGTTGCGAGCGGTTGCTGAGGAGCCTGGAATTATTGACTTGTTTCTAACATATCCTTGTTTTGTTATAAATTACTTATGTGTTACTTTAGAATGAGAAAGAAGCTCATTTGGTATCCGTTACATGCTCTTTCTTGCTGCATTTTTCAGTTTTTGGACCATTTGTGTGATTTCTTTGACTGATTATTACTAACAAATGGCCAAGCGGGATCACTAATAGGGCAGCTGCATCCGATGTTCCTCCTGGAGCCTCTGAGCCTTTTGGCAGTGACTCTACTGTGGCAGAGTTAGTAGCCGAGATCAAACCGCGGTACGAAATTTTGGATTTTATTGCATGTCATGTCATTTTTAATACTCTCCTCAATGGCATATAGTAGCAAACATAATAAGTTTTGTATTTTCAGAGAACAGTAGCAACAACTCTATGATTCTGATCAAAGTTCATCTTCTGTGGTAGCTATCATATTGCAGGTACGAAAGGCGTGTACTATGCACGTGAACCTTACTCCAATGTCGATGCTGTGCATGTGACCCGCTTCTTGGGCCTTGCTCCGGTTGGAAACAAAGATAAGCAGGCTAGTTATCTCAGCATAATTTCAAATTATATTCATCAATTCTATGTTAACATTTTTATTTTACTTATTATTTGGTCTTGGGATGAATTGATACCCATGCTGTTCTCTTGTGTGTTGGACAATATCCTTCAGCTGCTTGTCATTACATCTTCATTTTATGCCCTTAAATATAACTTTGATAACCCTTTGTATTTGTCTTTGCTCCTCAGAAATTTATTCATGCAATTTCTCCTACTCCAGCATCTACAATGTCTACTGTTGAGATTAGTACAAAGTCACCAACCACTACCTTATCTCCATACACATATGGGGAGAAAACAGATCATGCAACAGAAGCTGGAAAGAGGTCTAGCGATAGCATTTCTGATTCACAGTACTGGAGATATGATGTCAACCAAAAAAGGCAGAAACATGGAGCTGGAGATGGTAATAGGCTGTGTTTTAAGTTTGTATCCTCTGGCTCTTGTCCTCGAGGGGAAAATTGCAACTTTCAGCATGATGTAGATGCAAGAGAACAATCTTTGAGGGGTGTTTGTTTCGATTTTATGAACAAAGGAAAATGTGAAAGGGGTCCAGATTGCAAATTTAAGCACAGCTTACAAGCTGAAGGTGAGAGCAATTCTCACCAGAGACGTGGATCTGGAAATGCCAACAGTAACAGGTCCGACTCTGAATAACACCTTTTTGATGCTTATTGAGCAGGCCAATGAGAGGGGTTCAAGATGTTATTTGTTTTTCTTGTAACATTGAGTTTGATCTCACATGCAGGTCAACAGAGTGCTGGTTTTGTTTGTCAAGCCCCAAAGTAGAATCACATCTAATTATCAGCATAGGGGAGCATTACTATTGCGCCCTTGCTAAAGGTCCGCTTGTTGAAGACCACGTATTGCTAATTCCTATAGGCCATTCACCCAACACCCTTTCTTTACCCGTAGAATGCGAAATTGAGCTTGGTAAATTCCAGGATGCTCTAAAGCAGTATTATAAAAAACAAGGGAAGGACGTTGTTTTCTTTGAGTGGGCTTCGAAACGTACAACTCATGCTAATCTTCAGGTAAGGATCTGTGTTGCAAATGTTTATATATGAAGTTTCATGGATGAATTACTTACCCCACTTGTTCTTTTGTATAGGTTGTTCCTGTTCCATCAGCCAAATCAGCTGCTGTTCAAAATATATTTAACTTAGCTGCAGAAAAGTTGAGCTTCACGTTTGAGACTATGAAATGTAAAATAATAGTGCAAATTTGTTGCATGCATTGGCTAGGATCTTTGATTATGCTTTGTGTTCATGTCAAACTTCTGATTTTTCTTAGCTTCTACTACATCTTTAAATTTTTGTTCTTTTTGGCCTGTACTGCATCTTTAACTGATGCTTCTCTTCGTTGCAGCTGGTAACAATTCTGATGGGAGGAAAATGTTAAGGACGCAATTCGACAGAAATTTCAGTTTCTTCTATGTTCAGCTCCCTGATGGTACAATCCTATCTCATTCAATTGAGGAGAATGAGAGATTCCTACCCCAATTTGGACGCGAGGTAAGATCATAAATTCTACTGGTAATTTGTAATTTGACAATTCCTTTCCTGACATTCAGAAGGTTGAAATCCAATGGCAAATGAAATGTTTTGTAGGTTATAGCAGGTTTGTTGAACAAGGCTGACAGGGCTGATTGGAGGAATTGTACAGATAGCAAAGAAGAGGAAGCCAAGATGGCGGGAGATTTCAAGAGTGGATTTGAAGAATTTGATCCAAATAAGTAATTTCTCTCAAAAGGAACTAGGACTGAGAGTCATAAAGTTGTGGCGTGATGTGATATCTTGAATGTCCTTTGCAATTTCTTTGTCTACTGGTGACGTCCACCAACCTCCGTAGTCCTTAGCATCCATATTCTTACCAATTTTGAGAACCAAAGACAAGATTGCTCAATGTATGTCATTGTTTTGTCACTTCAAGGTTGCTCAATTTTGACAACTAATCCCAGATGTTCTCTAATGCTTCCTGAACAACTTGTCGACGGTTCATTCTCGTTGCAATAAGTGAGATCAAGAGGTGGCCTTAGTGCACCAACTGAATACTTATTGGCTATTTCAACTTTCGCAGAGTGTCCAAAGATGAGAACGAGTCCAGTAAGTTTAACCCAAGTGCTGATTGATGCCTATTTTCTTTTCTATGTTCTCTCATATCGTATAATATTTTTCACATTTGGAATTGAGATGTCTGTTATGTATCTACATCCGGCCTTGTAATTTTCTACTATCTTCACTCTGTCACACGGCTTCGATGTCAAGCATATTATATAATGCTTTAACTATAAGCTCTTTTCAGTTTTGTGGCAGTTGAGACTCAATAATTGAATTCCATTTTGAAGCCTGAAGCCAAGAGGCATTTCTTTCTTCCTTTTTGGTTGATTGCATGTGGAATGAATGATGCAAAGCTGAGAAAGCTATGGCCAACATCTTCCGGAATGCGATCAAGAATAAAATTAGGCATCTAATAATTGATTATGCTTCTTTTCATTTCAATGATTTTTTTACTTAGAAATCTAATCCTGATAACCAGAAACTTCTGAAATGACCAAAATAGTCAGCTCTATTGTGGTCCTAGCTTCTGATAGTAGGTGCAAGTGTCACGCTCTCAGGGGCCAGAAAATTATAACAATCTCTGTTTGCCATTAGAGAGCTTGTTGAGAGACTTTGGTTAGGTAGGACTTAGGAGTCTGCCTACCAGAGTGGGCAAGGAATATTCATTACAAGAATAATTCTTTTCAGCCTTATCAAAGATGCAGCCTGCCAAAGAAACAAAGAAATCAAATGCCCCCCATTAACTAAAACTAAAGAATAAGCTATACTGGGATGGTCCCAAAGTGCCAATCTTCTTATGGTGTAAGTGAAACTGAATTGTAAGATTCTGTGTTCGAGTTCCCCTCCTCAAATTTCTCGCTTGTAAATCTTCGTTGGGAAAAAAAGGAAAAGAAAAAGAAAACGGCTTCACCTAGAAGCCTCTGTGTTGATAGATATACAAAGAAAACTTTATGGTGAAACAGTGACGTTGCCTTTTCTTTTAGGTCGTGAAAAATATAACAGGCCATCACTCGAACACAGATGGAGTGAGAAACAAGAAAACTATTGGATCACAAGGGCAGTTGCTTTGCACCTCTACATGAGAAGAGAAATCATTGCGATATAATGAAACCCAATTTTGAGTTTTTGATGATGCCATGTGGGGCTCATAGTTTCAGACGTGTTCTAGTCCGTGAAGTGAAAAAGAAAGAGAGATCCCAACAAAAACAAAACCCGCTGTCATTATTATCCATCATGTGGGGTGGGAGTTCAGAGCCTTTGTCTACATCCCATAAGCTCATAATATTTTACTTGTCTGATTAAAAGCCATGGTTGACGCATTCAAAAACGGTAATGATTTCCACAAATTGTTCGTTTTCTGATAAATCTGTGGAGATGGACTTATACTTGATCACAAAGTCAATAGTTTTCAAGTTAAAGAGACTTGTAACTCAAGTGATTAAAAGCATTTATTTTTATATCCTACGTCGTATGTTCGATTTTTCCTCCTCTAATATCGCTTTATATCAACAGAAAAGGAAAAAAAAACATATTCAACCCAATAGTACAAGTTGAAGTTGAAGTATATTTTAGCAACTGAATTTGTGCGCCCAACAGTTTATGCAAGGTGTGCCTACTTTTAGACCTTTTCCATTTTCTGAGCACCGTCCAATTTAATCGTAATAGTTTATCCATTCAAATTTCTGCATGAGTCACAGACTCACTGACTGAGATATTATCACATGTTATTTTGGACTATTATCTGATTTGATCTTGAGGAAAAACTACACTTGATTTTTTATGAGGATGAAAAACTACTTTGTAGGCCATTAAAATGAGTTATAAATTATTGTTACATGTTGAAGCCTAAACATGCGTGTGCTTAGATTGGTTGTCGGCTTGTTTAGATGCATATTTTCTAAAAAGTGTGGATCATCACAAATACACTATCATCATAATCATCATCACCATTGTCACTGTCAAAATTCGTCATGGGATTGCACCGCACAACCCAAACACAACCCAACCGCCATAGTCCACAGAGTTTGATAGGTAGGGAACCCACGAGCCATAATCTGCCCCAGCTTTGGACAAAGTGAACCACCACCACCACCAGGGTGGGCTCCATTCATAGCAACGTGTTTAGTATGTGGCTCAGTGTCTTTTTCTAATTTCACCACCAGAACTAAAATTATTGTAAACGTAAGTTATGTTAGTTGGGTATGACCCTGTGTCCGTTCCCGTGCACTTAAGTTTAATTTTAATTTAAAGTAATTTAAGTATTTTTTTTTAACAAAGTAATTGAGTCAGCCATTTAAGAAGAGACATAATGTTAGAATCATCATCTTCCTCTGAAGTCTACAAGGTAGTTTGGGGGGTCTGCATTAAGAGTATGGACCCCATAAATGGACACTCATCTCAACCCTTTTGAGAGGGAAGAGATGGCTTCTCATTCATAATTGCAGCATATGTCAGGAATGGATTGGCCAATTGTTGTAAGATATAAAATTCAGCAGGAAAAAAAAAGGTGGTTTCTTTCTTTAAGTTTTTCATTTTCAAAGTCTGAAATCTAAAATTGCTAAAAGATGTATTATGGGTCCAAAGTCTGGATAATTATATGCAACTAACAAAACTGCTTGGCCATCTTTGTTTCCTTTAACTTTCTAGCCCACCCAAAGAAAAAGATGAAGAAGAAAGGCTTCTACTTCAATCCATCAAATCTCTCAACCAAAAAGAAAATTACTTTCTATCTTATGCGGATGCTGATTGCCAAACCATACAGTAGTAGAATATAATACAAGAGTATTTAATATATAAAGCTTGTATTAAAAAAAAGGTTGAATTATCCAGATCATGGAGGGAGGGTGATGTGTCAAACCCTGATTTTGACACACCACATCCAAAAGGCTTAATCTTTACAAGAACAAACGCTAACCAAGAAGAAAATGAGAGTCAAGTAAAAACCATTAAAAACAAAAACCCAAGAATTTCAACCCCAAATGAAAAGTTTGTACTTTGGTTCATTCCCCATTAAACATCAATTTGGCCTTCCCACTATTATTAAATATTTGCCAAGAATCTCTGCCAGCCTCTCTCTCTCTCTCTCTCTCTCTCTACCCCACTCGGGTACATCTCTCTTCTTGCAAAGTTTGTTACTTTAGCACTGCAAGTTTGCTGAGTGTATATTAAAATAAAAATTTGTTTTTCTGGTTCACTTCATAATTTCCAGTTGTGTTTTGTTACTCATGTCTGCTGGAAAGGTTCTGTCTTTCATGGACACCCCAAAGCTCTGCAAATTTCAGAGCTTTAGTTCCCAGAAAGCTAGAGGATTAGTTCCCTCAGCTATTTTCACCAAACCCAATTCTGGGTCTTTCCATAAGCTGCCTTCTCATTGCTTTGCTCCCACTACTTGTGAGACTTGTTTAATTTAATCTCCCTTTACATCTTGCTTCAAGTTACAACTCATAGTATAGAGATTAATTTATTCATTTTATTATTATTTTATTGGTCTCTAATCTCTTCTTCATCGTTGAGGAGGCTGGGGTAGAGAGTAAAATTATTAGAACTGTTTATGGGATGGGGGTGGTGATGCCAGCCATTTTCCAGCTGGTTAATCTCTGTGTCATTGGCTTTGCTTTAGCTCTCCAAGGATCTGCAGGTAAATTTTAACCTTTACAAATCTTAGTCATATAAGCATTATTAGAACTGTTGGATTAAGTTGTTAACTTTCATATGGATTTTAAAGCTTTTGTGCTTCAGCAGCATTGTTATTGATCTGGGTTTCTGAATTTTCATGTCCCTATTGTTGTTTATAAGCCCAATAATGTGGTGCACACGAGTGTGATCAAATGCTGTATTCACATATATGTTCTGTTCTGATGGATATATGAAGTATATTAGAAAAGAGATCAAATGATTCGAACTTCGGCATCTTCTTCGATCTGAACATGTTCTCATCTTATTGAATTGTTTTCAAATTCTGCCTGAGTATAATTTTAGACCAATCTGAACATGTTCTCATCTTATTGAATTGTTTTCAAATTCTGCCCGAGTATAATTTTAGACCAGAGCTCACAGCTAGTGGGCCATCTAATGTACTGATGGCCTGGAATTGTAATATTTTGTTTTCGAAATTACAATGCCCCAAGAAGCACGGTCATTTAGCAACTTCTATTTTAGTTCAGGTTTCATCTTGATCTGGGAAATGCCTTACCATTGAGGTTTCATCTGATGAAATGCCTCGTAACTATAAAGTATATATTGTTCCATAACAAGAATGGTAATATAAAAGGGATTTAAGATATCACATTTTCATAGCTTGCTTTAGTTTTCTTCTTATAAGCACCGGCCTTCACCTTCTCTCAGGGTTAAATCTATCACCATCGCCAGAACCTCTCTCTGTGAATCCTCCTATTGAACCAGCACCTGCTCCTCTCTCTCACAGAAAGTCATTCACAAGCAATGTACCAATCCCCACATTACAGCCAAATGGTAAGTCCCATAACTCTGCTGTTGTAGATTTAGAAGTTTAGACATCTGCTTAAGCTCCTAATTTGACAATCTAGGGTCAGATTTGCACCCTCCGCCTGCGATGCCACCTCTTATGTCTGCCCCAGTGCCCCAAAAGATCAAGGGACAAGTACCATCCTTGTCACCAAGTATTCCCGAAGTGCTGCCACCAGATGATGCAGCTCGTCCACCACTAAGTGTTGAAGGTCATGTACCGTCTGTGCCACCAAATAATGCTCCTCCACCACCAAGTGTTGAAGGTCATATACCGCTTGTGCCACCAAATAATGCTCCTCCACCACTAAGTGTTGAAGGTCATGTCCCGTCTGTACCACCAAATAATGCTCCTCCTCCGCGAAGTGTTGAAGGTCATGTACCACCTATGCCACCAAATAATGCTCCTCCATCACCAAGTGTTGAAGGTCATGTACCGCCTGTGCCACCAAATAATGCTCCACCACCACTAAGTGTTGAAGGTCGTGTCCCGTCTATGCTACCAAATAATGCTCCTCCTCCGCGAAGTGTTGAAGGTCATGTACCGCCTGTGCCACCAAATAATGCTCCTCCATCACCAAGTGTTGAAGGTCATGTCCCGCCTGTGGCACCAAATAATGCTCCTCCACCACCAAGTGTTGAAGGTCATGTCCCGCTTGTGCCACCAAATAATGCTCCTCCACCACTAAGTGTTGAAGGTCATGTCCCGTCAGTGCCACCAAATAATGCTCCTCCACCACCAAGTGTTGAAGGTCATGTACCACCTGTGCCACCAAATAATGCGCCTCCACCACTAAGTGTTGAAGGTCATGTACTGCCTGTGCCACCAAATAATGCTTCTCCACCACTGAGTGTCGAAGGTCATGTACCATCTGTGCCACCTACTCCTCAAACAAAGGCACCAGTCAATAAGAGTCCAATCTCAGTGCCAGTTGCTCCAGGTAGATAAACCACCAGGGCTATTTCTATGATGAATTTCTGTTGAATTGGTTCCAACCAAATATTTGTTGTATCGTATTATACAGTACCCATTGCAACACCTTCGAGGACATTACCACAAATTTCACCAGCCATCCATTCAAGTACACCAGACACATCACCATTAAGTGCTCATCAAAGACATGCGCCAGACAATAAGGTTCCCATACCAGAGCCACTTGCTCCAGGTAGATGTACTATTTTGTTATGACTTTACTAGATCTCAGATACTGGTTATAAGCAGTATTTCACATTTTTTTTTATTGCAAAAATACAGCACCTGTTTCGTCATTGCCGAGGACATTGGGACCAAATCCACCTGTGATGCATCCGAGCACACCGAATATAGCACCACCAATATTACCTGGTGCGCCTTGTTCCTTTTTTTCTTTTTTTTGAAAAAATGTCACATATAATCTTTATATTATAGGAACTAGTTAAATTGATCCATTTGTTCTTTTCTCTGAAAATGCAGTACCAGTTGCTTCACCAACAAGCAAATCACCACAAAACTCGCCGTCCATTTACCCAGTTACACCTGGAGAATCTCCATCCACATTTCCTGGTACTACTTCAGAAAGAGCATAGTAGAAAACTATGGTTATAATATTCACATTGTGATACCCAGTTGAATCAGTTTAATACCTTCATTGAATTGTTGTCCTTTTAGCAGTTAACCTTGAACCTTTGGACTTCATATCCAAATTTAATTTCAATATCATTATTCGTGATTTGGCTGTTTATGAAAACGTGCCACTGAGTGTGTTTGATCATTCCTGTCATTTGAATAACTAACAATTTGTATATTCACTGGCCCCAATATGAGATTACAGAAAATCAGTGTTCTATTTGGTCTTAAATTACGATACCGCTGAAGTTTTCAACAATTATATTCTAACCATTGTAATAATTGACCGGCCCTAATATGAGGTTGCAGATCCTGAAGTCTCTCCTGCATCATCTACTCCCCCCAGCATCAACTGGAAAAGGAATCCAGCTGTTGCACCACCATATGAAGCTCCCAAGCCTTCACTACCCATGGACCATACCCCAGCTAAAGGTATAGAAAAATGTTGCATATTTCCTATTGGTTTCTATATGGGAGTTTGTGCTGTCAACCTTCTAATTCTTGGTTATGTTTTCTGCTGTAGCTCCTTCCGTTCACAAACCTGTGGTATCATCTCCTCCCTCCAGCACCAACTGGAAAAGGGGTCGAATACCAGTTGTTGCACCATCATATGAAGCTCCCAAGCCAGCAATACCCATGGGCCATACCCCAGCTAAAGGTATTAAAAAACTATATGTTTCATATTAGTTGCTACTTGAAAGTTTCTGTTGTCAAGTTTATAACTCTAGGTTCTGTTTCTACTGTAGCTCCTGCTGTCCGCAAACCCGTGAGACATTATGAGTTTGCTCCTGCACCGTCTGATTCATCCCCTGAACCTCCTTTTGATAAGGGGCATAGTTCTCCTGCATCTTCACCTTCAACGTATAAGAATCATCATGTGAGGAACAAAGTCACCAGTCCTGCTCTTACACCATCGTATCTGGTTTCTCCTTCCACTTCAAAACAGCCAGGTTTAATGTTTCACCTGAACTACATGCGCCTGAATCACATAGATAAAAATACTATTCTGTGGCTTGTCATGTTCTTTTTCATTATTTGATTATCATTTCAATACTTTATACAGGTCCAGTGATCTCACCAGCATCGTTTCAAACAGGCAGGCAAAGACACTATGGTTCTCCACCCCTAAATCCAGGTACCAAAGCATTGAATTTTTGTTTTGTTTGGTCCCAACATTAAACCTGACTTTTCAATGCTGACACAGTTTCTACATGTCAGGGTCTTCAGTTCCTCCATCTCATTTACCTGTCACTCCGTCATTAAGCCATGTTTCCCCTGCTCCTTCTCCGTCTCTAAAAGATGCACCTCACTATACCAAAAGTAAGAAATGCTCTTGCCTCTGGTTCTCTGTTTTATTGCTGAACTTACTCATTTATCTTATTGTCTACTAAATAGCTTACCTGATAGTTATATGTTTATAATCTTAAGTGCCCCCTAAGCTTTCTCCATCGGGGTCTTTGGCAAAAAGCCCAAAATTGCCACCACTGCCACTTGTTCAAGCATTCCCACCACCACCTCCCAATGAAGGTATTTAAGCTAAAATATTTATTTACCGGTTTACTGGTGTCTCTCCTCTCTTTGTTGGTCCTACGATATTCTTCTTGAAAGTTCAAACTAAAATGTAATGCAGAGGTTCTTCCTTTTTGTAGATTGTTCATCAACTATTTGCACAGATCCCTATACAAATACCCCTCCTGGGTCACCTTGTGGCTGTGTCTTGCCTTTGCAAGTTGGACTGCGACTTAGTGTTGCTCTGTATACCTTCTTCCCCTTGGTTTCAGAGCTAGCCCAGGAAATTGCGGTTGGGGTTTTTATGCAGCAAAGTCAGGTTCGCATTATTGGAGCCAATGCAGCTACCCAGCAACCAGAGAAGACAGTAGCCCTCATTGACTTGGTTCCCCTGGGAGAAAAGTTTGATAACACCACAGCATTTTTGACTTCCCAGAGATTTTGGCATAAACAAGTTGTTATAAAAGCATCCTACTTTGGTGATTATGATGTACTATATGTGCGCTATCCAGGTACAGTATACAATACGTATGCATATACATACTGTAGGCATTTTTATCAATAACATTTATCTTTACATGAAACTACACATGTATAGGTTTACCCCCATCTCCACCATCTTCGGATGTTGATGTAATATATGAAGGACCATATCCTGGTAACAACAATAATGGAAGGACGGTAAAGCCCCTCGGGGTTGATGTGCACAAGAGGAGGAATAAAAATGGGCTTAGTGGTGGGATAATTGCTATTATTGCTTTGTCTACCTTTGCAGCAGTTGCTTTATGCTCTGCTGCTGCTTGGGTTTTTCTGTTCAAACATGGAGACCGTGCTTCTGAACCAACACCAACTCCACAGGCTTTGCTACCTTCTGTTGGCAAACCATCAGGTAATATGAATCCCGCAAATTTAATCAAATTAGGTCAGGTGCACATGTCAGTCTGTATGGCCTTGCAGGTTCCTTAAGCAGACTCTAATCTTTAAGATGGGCCAGTGGTTAGATTACATTATCATTTCTAATATAGAAAATAATGTATATGTTTCACAGGTACTGCTGGGTCTATGATGGAAAGTAGGCACAGTTCCGTGTCGTTATCATTTGGATCTAGCATTGCAACATATACAGGATCTGCTAATACTTTTAGTGCAAGTGACATTGAGAGAGCCACTGACAATTTTGACCCTTCAAGAATACTTGGGGAAGGTGGCTTTGGGCGTGTTTATAGTGGTGTTCTTGAAGATGAGACCAAGATTGCTGTCAAAGTTCTAAAAAGAGATGATCAGCAGGGTGGTCGGGAGTTTTTGGCTGAAGTTGAGATGCTTAGTCGCCTTCATCATCGAAATTTGGTCAAGTTGATTGGCATATGCACAGAAGAGCATAGCCGTTCCTTGGTTTATGAGCTCATTCCTAATGGCAGTGTGGAATCTCATTTGCATGGTAGCTTATTTGTCTGTTTGTTTAGGCTTAGTTCTGAGTTTATTGAATGCTGTTCATAATTGTTCCATTCTTAATGAACTTTTTTAATGTTGAAGGATTCTTTTTGACATAGCTATGCTTCTGTCAATTTTGCTTGATCTTAGGAATTGACAAGGACACTGCTCCACTTAATTGGGCACACCGCATGAAGATAGCACTTGGTGCTGCTCGGGGTCTGGCATATCTACATGAGGATTCCAGTCCCCGTGTCATACACAGGGATTTCAAAGCCAGCAATATTTTGTTGGAAGATGATTTTACTCCAAAAGTGTCCGACTTTGGTTTGGCACGGACCGCCATGGATGAGGAAAATAGACACATATCAACCAGGGTCATGGGAACTTTTGGGTATGAAATTTTTTCTTGCCTCTATTAAGTATTCCAGTTCCTCTAGATCATCCTTTGTTGACTAACCACCATTGCATGCTATATCCTGTGACCTAGAGGAGACTTTTTTAACATCTCTATTATGTCGCAGTGGTGCCTTTGGCAGTTTCTGACATCTTTAAATTCCTAATGATAATATTCAGGTATGTGGCTCCAGAATATGCAATGACTGGGCATCTTCTTGTCAAGAGTGATGTATACAGCTACGGTGTTGTCCTTCTTGAACTCTTAACTGGAAGAAAACCAGTGGACATGTCACAGCCACCTGGTGAAGAAAACCTAGTTGCATGGGCCCGGCCACTCCTCACAAGTAAAGAAGGATTGGAAGCAATGATAGATCCAAATCTAGGAGATGTCCCATTTGACAGTATTGCTAAAGTGGCAGCTATTGCTTCAATGTGCGTACAACCGGAGGTATCACATCGTCCTTTCATGGGTGAAGTTGTTCAGGCCTTAAAACTGGTGTGCAATGAGTTTGATGAGGCAAAAGAAATAGGTTCAAGGAGTTCTAGTCAAGACGATTTGTCCATCGATGTGGCTGCTGAAGCAAGCACTGCCTCAGGACAGTTGCCAGATACTTTCCAAAGCCAATACTCCATACTTACCTATGATTCCGATCTTGAGACAGAGAGGGAAGGATCGCCGTTGAAGCTGTTCAGTACATCAATGAGCAGGGGGAGGCAAGATTCTGAATCCTTTAGGAGGCACTCCAGTTCAGGTCCTCTGGGAACAGGAAGGAGTAAGCAGTTCTGGGAGAGACTGAGGAGATCATCCGGGGGCAGCGTGAGTGAGCACGGGTTTATGTTGAAGTTATGGCAAGGATCCCATTGAATGCTTGCAAAGTTACACTTTTTTACGATGATGGGTTACTTGTTTGATCCAATCTCAGATTTCCCATGTAAAAAAGCAGGCATTCACTTCATGTACTGCTGCAGGCAAGAATTCAAGAATGGCTTGCAGTATGGGAACTGAGATATAAAGCAAGTTGTGCACTTGTGCTGAATGGAAATGCAATTTGGATCAACCTCAATAAACACATCAAAATGGTAACAGGAGCTACTGAATTGTCAGAGTTGAAGATCAAAATTTTTGGACAGAGGCTACTAGAAATCTTTTCTTTTTTTGTAAATTCAGTGATAAATTGTGTGTTCAGATCAAGGATGCTCATTACCAAAATGTACAGAACAATTTGTGCCATAAAATGAATCTATAATATGCATCTCTTCCCTTTTTGGTATATATATCACATTGGTTGATGAAATGATCAAAAACATTGACCAAAATTTATTTAAATTAGTTGATGAAAAAATTCTGTGTTTTTATGTTGATGAATTTAAATTTGGAACAAATTAAAAAAATTGGAAAATGGGGATGATATATTTGCTGAAACCAAAACCACTAAACGACATGTCGTTGTTTTTACAGATCAACGGTCCTGATTGAGCCAAACCCCGCCAAAGCCACGAGATTGGTACCGAAGACCCAGCAGATTCTAGTCTCCTGGGTCAAATAGACTGAGAGAAGAGGCCCTCTCTCTCACTCGCCTAACTCTGCTCTCTGCTCCGATCTGAACAGATCAAATCCCAAGCTTTCAACAACAGCTTCCAATTCTCTCTCTACTTCACCTCCAACTGCCATGGTAAGTCAAGCGATCGAAAAGCACTTCTCTTTCATTTCTCTGTTTCACTGATTTTGCTTTTGATGTTTTCAATTTTTTTTTTATTGGTTCTCAAGGCTCCGAAGCCAATTGCCAGTCCCGTGGCGGTCACGTGGTATCCGACTCTCGCCGTCGTGATGCTCGCCATCGGCCTCATCTTCACCGCTTCCTTCTTCATGTGAGTCCGATCCCCCATAGCTAGATCCTTATCCAATTTTCTCTGATTTTCTGTATAGGTCTTGTTTTCATATTAGAACATTCGAGCCTGTAATTTGTGTTTTTCTCTGCACAATTAATGATCTGATAATGTTTTCAACGCAAAAGAATGCGAATTTCATTTCTGGTTGTAGTTTATATCCTTTGTTTGTGCTTTTCTCAGCAGCCAAACTTAAAAATTGTGTATTTTGTTGAGCCTATTGAGAGTGCATTTGTTACAATTCATATTTAATATGTAGAATTGGAACCAGGGTTTGCAGAAATCTCACAAACATAAATAACAAACTGATTTAGCCTTCAACTCTAAAACATGAACTGGAGAAAATTGAAAGAACGAAAGGAATAAAGTTTACTGCTTTATATCCCAATAAATGAAATGCAAATTGAAATTCTAGTCGTTATAGTGAAAAGATAGTCTGATTAAAAGCCAGGATAGGAATCTGAAGGACTGAAACATTGCTTATTAACCAGTTGAAGATTAAAGAAGGGTATATTATTATATATTTAGTTTAAAAGTTTTGGATTTGTGAAGGAACAATGCAGGCAGGGTACTAGCTTTAGGTTGTAAATTGTAATAGTTTGCGATAGTTCGGAAACCTTTTTCTCATATTATTCTTGGATGAGTCAGCAGCCTGGAAAGACTCTGGGCACTGTTAAACCCTCATGTTTCATCTTGACTAATTGAAGTGAGCAAATGTTTAGCACGATTGATTATTGTTACAAGCCATTGGCCTAGCATCATCTTTTGTTCTTTATGTAATTAGGTCCATTGAGTTTTGTATTAAGCGTACCCCCATCATCTTCTGAATATAGTAGTTGTTAATGGTGGTGTGAATATCTTTTGTAGCTATGAAGCGACCATATCTAGGAAAAGCCGCAGTCTTGCTAAGGAGCTTATAACAGGAACAGTGGCCTCTGTCTTCTTGGTGCGTCTGTAGTCAGAATCCTCTATTAACTACTGATACAATAATAGATTGCTCAATTTTTTTCTGTTGCCAAGAGTCTAATTGTTCTCTTTGGTGTGCAGGGTTTTGGATCCTTGTTCTTACTGCTCGCATCGGGTGTTTATGTCTAAGGCTATAAAGTTATGAAATTTTGTTAACAAAAAAATCAGAGATTTACATGAAGGATATGATATTGTTGACATTGTTAGTTTAATGTACTCTTACTTGTGTTGTTCTTAAATGAGACAAGTTTGATTAAACTAGTTTATGGCATAATGTCTTGAAACGAAGATGTTGAATTGCAATGGTGCTTTAGATTTTTCATTTTATTCTTTGCGCATGAGATATAGAGTTCAGTAGAAATGCAGTCGGTATTCTTAACCTGCACTGAGGTGGGCAACCCCAAACCCAAAATTCAAATTTTGATTTTGGATTTCCTCATTGACTTTTAGTCTTTTACCTTTGTATCATTACCATCTAATAGATTGTTTTGGAGCCTCAATCCAACAACAATCGGGTTGTATTTAGGTCAATTTTATGATTGCTCCGGCTATAACGCAAATAGCTTATACAAAATTATCAAAGTTTGTCTAATAAGACCACCAATGACAAGTTTTTAAGTCACCTTTAATCAAAGATTTTGAAAAAGGATTCTTATACATTTGGTAAAGGTTTTCGCAAATAGACAAGGAGTGGAGTGGCTCCACTTCCACACACGTTGCGTGACAACAAAATATAGAACACAACTCAGAACCCATTTCCAGAGTCCTCTGGGTTTCCAATTCAGTCTGCACAGTGGTGGCAATGTTGAATCCAGTATTTGCATTTGCTCTTCTCTTCATCTTCTTCACAATCTTGCTCATCAAATGGATTCACAGTACAAGAAGAACACCCCACAAAAACCTGCCTCCTTGTCCCCCAAGGCTCCCCATACTAAGCAACCTCCGCCAATTGGACATGCACCCTCGCTGATCCCTGCAACAGCTAGCTAAGCGCCATGGTGAGCTCATGCTGCTTCATCTTGGCATCAGACCAGTGCTCATAGTTCCGTCTGCGGATGCAGCTGGTGAGATCATGAAAACAAATGATGCAATTTTCTCCAAAAGACCCAAGTTGGCAATTTCTGATAGGCTTCTCTATGAAGGGAAAAATGTGTCTACAGCTCCTCATGGTGAGCATTGGAGAAGAATGAGAAGCATCTGTGTGCTTCAGCTTTTAAGTAACAAAAGGGTTCAGTCTTTTAGAAGTGTTAGAGAAGAAGAGCTGGGCTTGCTGGTTGATAATGTGAAGCAGTCTTGTTTGTTGTCATTGCCTGTGAATTTGAGTGAGTTGTTTGCTTCACTTACTACTGATGTGATTTGTGATATGATATTAGTGATATATGAAAATTTAACATCGCCCTGACAAATCCCAAGTCATTGTATTCTGAGCCTTGCATTTCAAATTCATTGCAAAACCATTAAATCATTCTAGGTTTGATGCTTTGCAATATCAGAGTGGATAATTCATTCAAATGTTAAGTCCAGATTAATTTTTTTATTAAATGAAGAATCCTGCACAATTGAATGAAGCTTGTCTTTCCTGCTTTCTTTTCTTGCAGGATGTTTGCTGGTGGAACTGATACAACTATACACAGTTCTAGAGTGGGTAATGACCCGACTCTTAAGTCATCCCAGAGTGTTGAAAAAAGTTCAAAATGAGATTATGAGAATTGCCAATAGCAAACCAGAAATAGCAGAAATTGACTTAGATCAAATGCACTACTTAAATGCAGTGATCAAGGAGACGCTTCGGCTATATCCTCCAATACCTTTACTGGCTCCCCGAGAATCAACCAAAGATGTGAAGATAAAGGGCTATGACATAGCAGCAAGAACCATGGTCCTTGTCAATGCCTGGACAATTGGTAGAGATCCCTCACCGTGGGATGAACCGGAGAGGTTCTTGAACTCTGCTGTGGATTTCAAAGGACATGACTTCCAGTTAATCCCATTTGGAGCTGGCAGGAGGGGCTGTCAAGGCCAAATGTTTGCCATGACCACTATTGAGCTTGTGTTGGCAAATCTTGCGCGCAAGTTTGACTGGGCATTGCCTTGTGGAGCAAGAGCTGAGGACATGAACATGACAGAATGCACAGGTCTTGTCATCCACAGACAAGTTCCTCTTCTTGCTGTGCCAAAGCTTAGGCCTTTTTAGAATTTCTTTGTTTCCCTTTTCTTTTTATCCTTTGGCTTGGCTTGTGAACATGTCTATGTGATTATATGTCATTTTTATTGGGAACAAGTCCTGCTTAATGAGGGTACCTAAAATAATCCTTGTATATAAAGATGAGCAACATAAGAATAAAATTTCTCATTATTTATTTGCATATTTTTTTTCTTCTTCTGAATTATGTGTAAGTTACACAATTACAAAGTTCCTATAGTCTATAGACACATGTGACTATCAATTGACATTATTTTTACCACAAATTCTAATTAATCTTTTACAGAAATATGGTTCACCACCGTTGTCGATTTTCATTGTTTTTCAGAACATCCAAGATCTTCTTCAACAGCTTCAGATTTCTAATATTTTAGTGCATGTTTTCTAAAGAAAATATGGTTGTTGATGTTTTTGCTAATATGGGTCCTCATAAACAGAATTTTTGTATTTCATTTTATAATTTCCCAATTATGGTGACTATGAGATTATTGTTTGATCATAGAAATATTGGAATCCCTCGCAATTCTCCTTGTAATTTTTCTTTTGTACTTAAAAATAAAAAATTTATACCTCCAAACAATCCTTCATATTATTCAGTGCCATATAAATTTATGTACATTTCCCCCCTCCAAAAAAAAAGAAATTTCCATGGCGCGTGTGTATCGTCCACTTTAAAAGTGCGTGGGGTGGACCAACGGAGTCGCATCCCAATTTGAAACAGAGCCAGAGAGAGACACACGGAGAAAGTGAGAGAGGAGGAGAGAGAGAAAGTGGGAAGTAAAATCCAAGGGTTTTTAGTCGAAGTCGTAGCCAAACTCAGAGAAGCAGAGCAAATCAGAGTAGCCATGGACGCTCAGTCGCAGCAGCCACAAGTCGGAGTTGTGAAGAAGAAGGAGACTCGGGGCCGAAAGCCCAAGCCCAAGGAAGAAAAGAAGGACGACCAGCAACAGCAGGCCAAGATGAAGAAGGCCCACCAACAAGCCACCGTCGACGACAAGTACACTCAGTGGAAGTCACTCGTCCCTGTCCTCTACGACTGGCTGGCTAACCACAACCTCGTCTGGCCCTCCCTCTCTTGCCGGTACTCTCTCTCTGTCTAACTTCTTCTATCCCTATTTTTGGGGTTTTAGGTTTTTATGAGACCTCATTGTCAGTTGTGCAGTTCGTTTTTGCTCTAAATTTAGGTTTTGTGTTTCAGTGTATCTGATTTTTTTTGGTTTTTAGGGTTTGTGAGGCAAATGGATAGTGAAAAGTCTGCATCCTTTTTTTAATAAGCATTGTATATCTGCTTCTGTTTTGGCCAGGTGGGGTCCTCAGCTCGAGCAAGCTACTTACAAGAATCGCCAGCGTCTCTACCTTTCTGAGCAGGTAAGCTTGCTCATCTCAATTTTGATTACCCACAGTTAATTTTGAATATCCTCCCATGGAAGTGTTGCGACACATGAAATTCACTTGAATTTTATATAATTGGAAGCACAAATTCTGTGTTTGGATTTGAAACTCATAAATCATACTAGAAATGGTTAAAGTTACTATATTGCGCTAAAGCACAAATTTTTTGTGATGTGGATCCTGGAGATATATACTAAATTTTACTAAGGTTATGTTCTCTTTAAAAGAATATCCTTTTTTCTGATTCGTTGTCAGACTGATGGAAGTGTTCCAAATACGCTGGTTATTGCAAACTGCGAGGTTGTCAAACCTAGAGTTGCCGCTGCAGAGCATATATCTCAGGTATTTGTGATTGGTTTTATTTTTTGCATGCAGCTTAACTCTTCTGTGAATATCATTATTAATTACTTCATTTTTCAGTTCAATGAAGAAGCCCGCTCACCATTTGTTAAGAAGTACAAGACTATCATACATCCGGGAGAGGTATGAATGATGCACTTGTTAAGTCGTTGATTCTTTCTTCTCTCATTTTGGGTATAAGTTGTTGATCTTGGAAGCTTGCAATTACTTCGTCTTTAGTAATCTTTTCATATATTTTGACAGATAAACAGAATCAGAGAACTTCCACAGAACACTAAGATAGTGGCCACACATACAGACAGCCCTGATGTAAGTGTTTTTTATTTATTAATTTCGATGATAGTGGTATGTTCTTTGTTTTATATGTTTGGGTTCATTTTTGAAGTTATAATCACTTTGAAATTTTGCCAAAATTTAGGTTCTAATCTGGGATGTGGAAGCTCAACCTAACCGTCATGCTGTCCTTGGAGCCACAAGCTCACGCCCGGATTTGGTAAGCTTTTTTGGCTACGTATCTCTTTTCCTAAATTTTTCATTTTTCCTTGAGAGCCACAATTTTTAAATGTTGGACCCTTTCAAGATTTGTATGATTTACTGCTAACTTTGTTTGTTCAATTGAAAGATATAGAACCTGTTTGACTATTTTCTCCTTTCAGATTTTGACTGGACATCAAGATAATGCAGAATTTGCTCTTGCAATGTGTCCAACTGAACCATATGTGCTGTCTGGAGGTGGGAAATTTTTTTCTTTTGTTTTTTGAATCCTAATGATGCTGTTAAATGATTTAAGTATGCCTAATGTATGTAGGTTCTTGTTTATATAATTTGCTCTTTTTACTGTAAAATTTGATGACTGGATGCTGTATGTTTTAGTTTGCGATTGATTTCAAGAACTCATCTCACTATCGTTATTCTTATCGTTATTGGGCTTATGAGAAATTAGATTATGTATTTTATGAAGGCTCTTTCTTTTTCACTGGAAAAAATATTTTATTGCAGGGAAGGACAAAACAGTGGTTTTGTGGAGTATTCAGGACCATATATCAGCAGCTACCACAGATCCAGCAGCAACCAAATCTCCAGGATCTGGTGGGTCAATTATTAAACAAAACTCAAAGCCTGGGGATGGTAATGATAAAGCTGCTGATGGCCCTTCTGTTGCACCACGAGGAATCTACTATGGGCATGAGGATACAGTTGAAGATGTGGCATTTTGCCCATCTAGGTAACTTACATCTTCTCATTTACCAAGCCTTTATAAATTCTTTTATGCTGACCAAGATTCAATCAAACTAATAAAGACATGGAGCCTCTATTAAATTTAAACCTTAGTAGTTGCAATTTATCTTCTAAGGACGTGGCCTTTTATTTCTTATGATTTTACATCTCTACTGAAGTTCACAGGAGTTCTGTAGTGTTGGTGACGATTCCTGCCTCATATTATGGGATGCACGTGTGGGCTCTAGCCCTGCCATAAAGGTTATGCATCTCATCCTTTTTTTAGGCTTTCCTTTAATTTTTCATATGCCTTTGGAATGGATTTTCAGTCCCTCTGCACATGCTAAAAGGCTTCATACTTCGGAGTTGGGTGAATAAACTGGTATACATGTAGAATTTGGCTGAGTAGTGTCAGTTTGCAGCATATATCTTTGATGTATCTATTTTTCTGTTTGAAGATTACTGCTTAATCATCAATAGTAACATGCCTATAGGAGTATCATTTTGGGTGTTAGATCTTCCTAAATATCTCTGATCATTAATCTTGGCAGGTGTCTTTTTCTTTAAGTGTAATTTTGCCTTCTACTTATTGTACATTTTGGCCGTTCTTGTTTCTGATTATCAGGTTGAAAAAGCACATAATGCTGATCTTCACTGTGTTGATTGGAATCCCCATGATGATAACCTTATTCTAACAGGGTACATGCTAATGGCATATTTCTCTCAGTTTTGCTGCTTTTCAAATCCTCTTTTTTATTGTGCTTTAAGGCCTGAACTGTGAGAAGATATGACACTTGTTAATACGTCTATGCTGGTATGATTTCTTAACAGGTCAGCAGATAATTCCGTTCGCTTGTTTGATCGCCGAAATCTCACTTCTGGTGGAGTTGGGGCACCTATTTATAAATTTGAGGGTCACAAAGCAGCTGTTCTTTGTGTCCAGGTAATAATTATACTGCATGTCTTGCTATATTCTATTTCTAAAAAAATTCTACTCTATGGGAAGTACATCTTTTGCAAGAACTGCAGGTCTGTATCTGTTGTTTTTACCAAACTACATTTATATTTCAGTGGTGTCCAGACAAATCGTCTGTCTTTGGAAGCTCTGCAGAAGATGGTCTTTTAAACATTTGGGATTATGAGAAGGTATGGTGGCCTTCAGAATGTACAGTGGTTTGATTTATATGTTAATCTTGTAAGTTTAAATTCAATCAACTTTTTGACATGATGAAAAAAGTGTTTCTAAATAACTTTTTTGTTGTGTTCGTATAAGAGTGGATTGCCACTTCTTTGAGTTTCACCTTCTCTATTTCTCTGCCCATTACTTCAATTAGTCAGAAGTTGTGATACCTTTTTGCAAACACAATAACTTGCAGGTAAGTAAGGAGCGAACTACCAAAGGCCCAAGTTCTCCACCTGGTCTGTTTTTCCAGCATGCTGGGCACAGGTTCGAGACTATCTCTTTTACTTAGCTTTTGATGTGTCTGGTACAGGATTCTTTCTTTTGCATCTCACTTGACTTTCTATCTTTCTCGGTTTCTTTTAAATGGGAATCATACCAGAGTTTATATTGTTTCCATGCCACCTATATATCTTTAGGTTCATATGGTCAGTAAACAGTATGTGATGAAAACATGATCTTGTAATTATCTCATGTTCTCTGAAATTTTAAGTTTGACCTTTGCATCAAATGTTTGTTGGAAATTTTACTCTGCTAACATCATTTGCCAAACTGGGGAAATGTTCTGTTTGTCTTTGTTGGCTTTTTCTCAAGAGAGGTGGACATGATAGTGGTCTAAAACCTTTTATCTATCTCGTACCTTATTGCTTAGTCTTCTAGGTTTGTTAAAATTCTTTGGCGCTGAATGATTTTTTAATGGTTATATCTAGAACATGTTTGGTATTGCCTGGTAAATGGTAATGAAGTTTTCTCAAGTGAAATTGGATCCTGGACTGTATAATTTGAATAGTCTAGCGTTCTTTTTTCCTTTTAGTTTCTCATAGTTCTCTCGTGGTTTTCTTTACTTCATCAGGGACAAAGTTGTTGATTTCCATTGGAATGCATCCGATCCATGGACCATCGTTAGTGTGTCTGATGACTGTGATACTACTGGTGGAGGGGGGACATTGCAGGTATCAGAATGTTCTTCTTTACCTCATTGGAAGGGTTTCACTTTACCCGTGATAAATTATTTCTTATAAAACAAATTTAAAGAAGTATATTTTGAAAGCTGAGGGAGCAATAATGAGAAACCATATGAGATGAATGTGAAGCGTTAAACATGATAAGGAAAAGAATGTTGCTTGAACAAAGTTTTTTCTGGTGTACACATGATGTGTTTTACCCTTATGCCCTCCTTCCTCCCATATATTACCCTTTCCTTTGAAACCTTTCTCTAGTTAAAAGAGAAATTACCCTTTGATTTGACAATGGAAACTGATTTCTGAAGCTGACAATTGATTTCAGATATGGCGAATGAGTGACCTGATCTACAGACCTGAAGAGGAGGTTCTGGCAGAGCTTGAGAAGTTCAAGTCCCATGTTGTTTCCTGTGCTTCAAAGCCTTGAGAGTTGAGTGTCAACTGCACTTTTAGATTCGTGGGAAAAAATTTCTGTAGCAAGCTTATTGAATGAATCTAAGCTCTTTTATGTTAGAGAGGTAGGATGGTTTTCTAGGTCTGCTGTGATTGTAATATTTGCTTATTGGATATGGGTGTTTATGATGAGAGGAGAAAATTCATGCTTAGACTAAGTTTATGTATGCGGCATCATGTTTGACCGGTGCTTGGGATTAGGGATCTTTAACCTAGATGCATGGCTCACTCTTTTCGGCCATGTTCATCAGAGATTTTAATTTTAATTGGATTGGACATGATTATTCAGAAGCCTTAAGAGGGGCAAATATCTCGTTGTGGTAGATGTCTCTATTTATTTTGCTTAAGATTAATAAGGGAAATGTCGGTTGGTGGATTTGCAGCAGATTTCGTATTGACAATTCTGTTTGTGATTAAAAATTATTTCACACAAAAAGTGAGTCCATTTCTTTATCCATCAAGACAAGTGAAATGATGTGACAAGCAGTTAAAGGGTACAATATTTTGTTAAGCCCAATTATCTTAGAATAATAATAATAATAATAATAATAATCGAGCTGGACCAAATTATCTCCACTAAATTAGACCAATTATGAGTCTAGTAATCGCGATGGAATAAACATCTAAGCTCATATGACGTGTTTGGATCATTTTGTAAGAAATGGGATGTTCCAATTTCTTAGGCAAGAATTATGAGAATGCCAAATTGTCGACTATTGTGTGTCTATTGGTGAGAGAGATAAGCGAAGCATAGTGGTTTTGTATGCCTAGTGACAAACACGAGCCGCACTTCAAAATCTAGATTTTTAAACCAAAATCATCTATTATATCCCTAGGTACCATTGTATACTAGTGTTATAACCCTAAATAAAAAGTCCAAATCCCTTTCCCCAACTTGAATCCTATTTTTCCTTTTTCTTATATAAAGAATTAACGAGATTATATATATTATACAAGCGGTAGTTTAAATGGAGACTTTGGAAAAACACAAAGGAGAGAGAAATTTTGTAAAAGAAGCCAAAATGGACAAAATTGCCCTTATTTATTTTTGGATTTCCTAAGGAATCCTTTACATTTGCATATATTTGATTTGAAAGTTGAGAGGTTTTTTTGTCTTTTTTGAAAAAACTTTGGCTTTTTCCAAAAGTGAAAATTTTTTTTGACTAAAACCTAAATTTACTTAGTTTTTTAAACTATAAGGGAAATGAGAGTTTCTAATACATAATACCAAAACGGCCATGAGATTTCAAACCTAAGACTAATGGTCTTACAAGTCATCACCATTTTTCAGTGGGCTAGACCTCGTTGGCAACGAGATTATATATACCCATATTGGAGTAACGGTTTCTTGTTTATTTAGCACGTGATGTAACCTGATTGGTAATTAGGACCACATTTGGATAAGATTGAATCTGGTGAATGATTTGACTTGTTCATTTGACACTATGACCTATCACAATTATCTGGTTTGTTACGTAGCACGGCTCAGTTCTTACCAAATTTAACCAGGATTATTCCTTATTAGGGACTTTTTAAATGGAAAGTTTAATAGCATGAAAAACCACAATAATCTGGCATATTGTGTTGCCAGACAAATCCATAAAATTTCTAAACAAGACTATACCGAAATGACTCAAATTCATAGTATGACAACTTCACTTTGGAATTACCTGGACAACTTCCTTATCTAAATGATTAGAGGACGAAAAACCATGATACTTGCACCTTTAATTTTTTGTTTACAAACTTTCTTCACATGACAAGCTTAAGCACCAACTGCTTAATCCATAAACTAAAACCCTTTTAGACTCATGCTTATTATAACAAAAACGTCCACTTCTATTTTTCCATAAGAGTAAAATGAATTCGATGTCCAAAAGAGCCATCTTTCCAAGACACGCTTTTTGCACATCAAAACGGAGGGTACAAAAAATCTCTCTTTCTCGCGAAGGCTCCCAGTAACACACACCGTTTCTAGTTATTTACTACACAACATTAAAAACGCGCTTTTTTCCTTTCCTTCCCATCCCTTCCCTTCCCTCCACTGCACGCCACGTCACCACCCCAAATCTTTAACAAAAACCCGCCCCGTCGGATCGTCCAGGTGCGTAAGCTTCAACGGTTTAGATTATAGCAAAGTCGTCGACAGCTGGACCCACCAAATATGGGGCCCACGATCCCTCCTTTTTGGTAATTCTTCACCATTTTCGATGTGGGGGGAACGAAATTGGGAATTTTGGCTGCACACCCTCACCAAACTGTACGTAAAACGTCAAGTCCCACTCAAATATATATACGACACACCCACACACTTCTCCACTCTGCCTCTCTCCGTACACTCACACTCTATCTCTCTCTCTCTCTCATGGCGGACACAGACAGGGGAACGCTGAAGAGGCCTGGAGACGAAGCGTTGGAGGAGAAGGCGGTGAAGAGGCAGCGAGATCTGGAGGTGGAAGGAGATCAAAACGACGACATTTTGACTCTGCTGTTCAACGAACCCGACGAGACGCTCGACGAGGTGATGAAGCTTCTGGACGTGGCGGACAACGGTGCTAGTTGCACTACTGGTGCGAAGGTGAGGTTCGTCAACGACCCGTACTCGCCGTCGTCGTACTTCACCGTCAACGGCAACGAGGAGAGCTGCGGGTCGTCGTTCTCGGAGCTGGAGTCGACGTGCATGGTGGGGGTCGACATATGCGGTGGCGGGCTAGGCATTGGAGCGGAGGTTATGGGTTTGGAGTTCGATAGGTGGTTGATGGAGGAGGCGAAGGAGGAGAGCGGCGGCGCGTGTGGTGTAATCGAGGAGGCGGCGCGTGGTGGCGGGTTGGGCATGGAGGCGGAGTGGGATGATGCTGCGCTGGCGAGGTTCATCGGGGAAGACCTATTTTGACCTCTCTCTCGCAGTCCCCGAGTCTGTGTGTGTTGTTTGTTGTCTCTCAACAACCTGGGGCTGGGGGGTATAGAAATGAATTTTGGTGGGTTTAGGAAGAAATTGGTGTTTTTATGAAAGGCGGCATGGGCAGAGGGGTAGGTGGGTTTTATTTTCTACAGAGAGTAGTCTTCTGCAGGAAGCTAGCTACAGAGATGTGAATAGGACATTATTAGGATTGTCAATTAGCAATTTAGGGGGTACACAGAGAAAAAAAGAAAAGAAAAGGTGAAATGTTCATTTTGGGTATTGCGTGTGCATGTGGCCGTCTGGTAGTAGTAGTACGTACAGTACTGACTGCAAAAAGAAAAAATACAGAGTTTTATTGAAAAAATATTTGCCTTTAAAATTCTTTGCAATTATTTTATGATTTTATTGTTTTGGTTTTTGAGCATTATTATCTTATCGGTTTGATTTTTGTTATTTAATTTGATTTCCTTAACGAAGAAGAAAATTGATAAAATGGCTGAAATTGATATATAATGAGTCAGCTTCTGTGGGTCCCACTTTACTCTACTCTACTCCTAGAAAAGGGACATATGTTTTAAGCACGCCTCTGCCTTGCCTCTGTTTTTGATTTTTTTTTCTTTTCAAGATAAGGATTTGGATGGATGGATGGTGATTTCTTTGACCATTTTTTTCAAACTTCGACTAGGCCCCTCCCTTGTGTTCATCAGGAATCCTGCCAAACATGTCACAAATACACCTTGTGTTGTGACAATTATTTAAATCAAAAGTTTATAATATTTGGTTCATCCTTTTTCATCAAGAGGGAAATTCGAACTTGAGAAATTTTTCAGTATTTATTCCCACGAATTTGTTGATCCAATTTGTGCATTGACAATTGGACTTGTGGAATGGGCTCCGATCATGTGTTGAAGTGCGTGGGTCCAAATGAGTTAATTCTTGGGCCGAAATGAACATCCGCCAGTGGCAATTTTGGAAATGGTATGGGTCTGCTTTGTTGCCCACACTGTCATTATCATTAGGATTTGGGACAAAACCCAAAACTCCAATTATCCTGGAAGCAAACAAATTGTTAGCTAAATTTGGGCCCATTAATTGGGCCTCATGTGGTCTCATTGGCCCATTAATTTCCTTTAAGACTTGGTAGAAATTATGATAATGGAGGACACTGCCACCACCACCGCCACTAAATATTATCTTAAGAAATGAATTATTTTGTCAGTGGTTGAGCTCTTTCATCTCCACCCATGTTGACAGAGATTCAAAACCCCTAAACATCCAATGAATATTTGTGCAAACTCCCCTCCCCCAATCGCTTGTACACAAAAGAAAGGAACTCTATTCTATTCCATTCATTTAAAAAAAGCTTTGCTTGGACTACTTTTCTTCTCTCCTCGCATCATTTGATGACCATATTATTCCCTAACCAACCATCGTCACTTTAACATCTTCGAAAGCTAAAGTTGATTAAGAGAGTGAATCTATTATCTATAAATATGAGTGGTTAGGTCTCTTAGTCTTTAGCTAGCTAGGCATCACTAGGAAGCTAGCCACTTCGAGCTCTATGAGCATCAAACAAACAGATTTCCCCAATTTGATTGAAAAAAAAACACAGGGGGTACCTACCAACTAAACAAGGGGACAATTTGCGGCTCAAGAACCCTAGCCCTAAACTATTGGGGATTAGCCAGCCCTTTAACAAATAGGTTGTTCGAAATATTATCATTTCATGCCAAGGGTTTTACGTATTATACGTATAAATTGTTTTTAAATACACAATCATCATAATACATGACATATATTTTCAATGAAATAGTAATGTTCAAAAGTGGCGAGAAAAACTCTTGTTAAAAAAAGTGAAACCCAAGAACAATTTTAGGCAATCATGTCAATGGATGGCCAGTTTTGTGCCCCATCCCAATCCCATCATTCTCCTATCAATTCCTCATATAAAAAAAAGGTGAACTCCTGGGTCTCAATCATCCATGTCATTCTCTGTAAAAGCAAACTATCAATAATGAATTACTTTTTCTTCCTCAAAACGCCCCATTCAAATGTTCTTTTTCTCGTTTAGTTGATTTAACAAGTATATGTTTTTCTCTCAGTCACGTGTTAAAGTTCTAGTGACATTATAAGATAGATGACGTATACACCCGTTAAATGTAAGTTTTTTTAATCTAATGCAAGTAACCTATAAAATAACTAGAACCCCGTCACATAAGAAGTTGTCATCAATGTGGTACTATAAGCTTTGACTTAACAAGATGATTAACTTCGTTGATGAAGATTCATATAACTATATATTTAAGACCAATTTTTAATCGAAGGGAATAAAGATTCATTCCACAAACCCTTGGACGCAATATAAAATTTTGAACTGTGAGAAATCAGTACAAAATCCTGTCATTCCAATGTGTATATTGTCATATCTGCACTACCTTTGATGAAGATTTAGAAGAAAGTTTGGATATGGTAAACAATTAAAAGTATTGAACCATGAACGTTTTAGTTTGTGAAAGCAACTGATAAACCTATAAGTATGCCTATGGCATAGAGTTTAAAATAATAATAACGTTGGGTCATAGTAATAAATGTCATCATGGTGCTGATGGCCACCAAGATTCGTTGTCACCTTTACCATTCAAAGTATACGTTGACCACAATAGGCTACTGTTTAGGGTTTATGGACTTAAACAGATCAAGTACGATTTGTAGACAAATCCCAACAGAGAACAGAGAACACAACACAACTCAGTGAATAGAGAACAGTGAACTCGGTGATGGAGTTATTTGAACACAACACAACTCAGTGAATAGAGGAGAGAACAGTGAACTCGGTGACGGAGTTATTTGAACACCACAACACAACACAACTCAATGAATAGAGAACAGTGAACTCGCCAATCCAACAGTTAAATACGAACATGCATGGGAGAAAAATCTCACAAGTCATGAATCATGAACCATAGAGAACAGCGAACTCGTCAATCTAAAAGTTAAATACCAACATACATGATAAAAAACCCAAGTCATGAGTCGTGAACCACCGAATGACGGTTCATCAACCGATCAGGACCGTTGAATTGCTGAGTTGGTGGGGTGTCCCTCGCTCAATGTACATGTGAAGGTTGGTGAAAGGCCCTGTCAACCTTTTAAAGTTTCAGATGTTCCTGGGCATCATCATATATGATAAAAAGAATTTGCCTTTGCCTTTGGTAACTATGCCTGCTGAGATCTTTATGGCTAATCAGAATTCAAATGAGTGCAGAAGATATAATGATATTTTGGACATAAATGGAAGTGGCATTGAGAGATGCTAGGACAAGATTTCATAGAGAATGGTCTTTTGGGTATGAGCCATACACTTGTAGAGAGAGCTCAAAAAAAGTAGAGCCCTGTCTTTATTAGAAAATAATAATAATAATAATAATAATAATAAAAAGAAACAAAGGGAAAAAGAAAAATGTAGTAATATGTAAAAGAAACAAAGAGAGGACATAGGAGATCCTTATAAAATCCTCATCAGTAACTCAATATCACCTCACCTCACAGTTCTTCTTTTTCTCTCTCTTCTCACTCTTCTTGTGTCTAAAATATTCTAAATACCTTTTGACATTTTTGTGTGTTGTTGAAAGAAGCAGAGGTTAGAAACAAAAATGGTGGCCAAGAAATCAAGGATTGTGATAATAGGAGCAGGAATGGCTGGTGTGACAGCAGCTAACAAGCTCTTCACTGCCACTGGGTCCAAGGACTTGTTTGAGCTCTGTGTTGTGGAAGGTGGGTCAAGAATTGGTGGCAGAATCAACACATCAGAGTTTGGTGGTGACCGGATTGAGATGGGCGCCACTTGGATCCATGGCATTGGAGGCAGCCCAGTTCACAAAATTGCTCAAGAAATCCATGCACTTGAGTCTGAGCAGCCATGGGAGTGCATGGATGGGTCCTCTGATGAGCCCAAGACCATTGCTGAATGTGGGTTTGAGCTAAACCCCACTCTGGTAGACCCCATTTCATCTCTGTTCAAGAACTTGATGGATTATGCTCAGGGGAAGGTGTTTGATGAAAGTACTGAAACAGAGAGCAATGGTGATGTTGAATACAGTAAGCTTGGAGATAAAGCTTCCGAGGTTTGTACAAGCAATGGCGGTCTTGGGAAGCTCAGTGTTGGTTCTTTCCTAAGGCAGGGCCTTGATGCTTATTGGGTTTCAAATAAAAACCAAGATGAGGAGCTGAAGCTCAATGGTTATGGAAATTGGAGCAGAAGGTTGCTGGAAGAAGCCGTCTTTGCAATGCATGAGAGCACCCAAAGGACTTATACATCAGCTGGTGACTTGTTTACTCTGGATTATAGTGCAGAAAGCGAGTACCGTATGTTCCCAGGCGAAGAAATCACCATTGCTAAAGGTTACTTGAGCATAGTTCAATCACTAGCCTCTGTTCTGCCACCTGGGTTGATCCAGTTAGGCAGAAAGGTCACAAAAATTGAATGGCAGCAGCCAGAGACTCATATCAACAATGGTTATGATGACACAAGGCCTGTGAAGCTACACTTTTCTGATGGGTCAGTTATGTTGGCCGATCATGTTATTGTTACAGTTTCTTTGGGGGTCCTTAAAGCTTCAATTCAACAAGATTCAGGTATGTTCAATCCTCCCTTGCCTTCTTTCAAGACTGAGGCAATATCAAGGCTTGGTTTTGGTGTTGTTAACAAGCTGTTTCTGCAACTGAGCTCTACCCATGCTACAAAAGGCCAAGACTTCAGTAAGTTTCCATTTTTACAAATGGTTTTTCATAGAGCAGACTCAGAATTCAGGCATAAAAAGATCCCATGGTGGATGAGGAAGACAGCTTCTCTTTGTCCACTCTATCACAATTCCAGCGTTCTGCTATCTTGGTTTGCAGGGAAAGAAGCACTTGAGCTTGAATCACTCAAAGATGAAGAGATCATTAATGGGGTTTCAGCAACAGTCTCTAGCTTTCTGTCAAAACCCCAAAAGAAAGAGAGAGAAAATTGTCATTCCCATGAACTATGCAATGGGAATTTGAATTCACAAGAGAACTCTGAAGTAAAAATTGCAAAGGTTTTGAAGAGTCAATGGGGTAATGATCCTCTGTTTCTAGGATCCTACTCTTATGTTGCTGTTGGATCAAGTGGTGAGGATTTGGACACCATGGCAGAGCCATTGCCAAAGTTGAACAGTTGTGGTGATGAGCCTGCTACTTCCCCCCCACTTCAAATTCTGTTTGCAGGGGAAGCTACACACAGAACCCACTATTCTACCACCCATGGAGCATACTTTAGTGGTCTTAGAGAAGCCAATAGGCTTCTCCAACATTATCACCATGTTGGGGTTTAGAGGACTTAGTAGGACTTTTATTTATTTTTGCACATTTATTGCTATGATATTAATTATTTTCATTTTCATGTAGAACATCTTTGTTTCTCTTTCTTTGGGGGAGGGAGAGAGAGAGAGAGAGAGAGAGAGAGAGAGAGAGATGGGGACAATTTGTTAGATGTACTGCATGGATTAAAGAAGTTACTTTGATTTTCCATTGCTTTCTCTTTGATTGTGTGTGAGATGCAGTTTTTCTTCTTTGTTTTCATTTGTGCTTCTCTTCATCAAGGCAAAACCACATGTACCTCTCAATCTCATGAGATGGTATTATATGATATTGAGAAGTACAAATAACAAGAAAGCTTTGGATGCCACCTCCCTTCCCTACCAAGTGTCTATTTTGGAATGCTCAATGGACAGGATCCGATAAACCCGCTCTTTCCAGCTGCATTTCTTTTCACCCGTTCCTTTCCTGCACTGACACTTTGTTTCACAGCCCATGACATTGTGTTCTTCAATCCATAGAAAGAGTTTACCTCTCTCTCTCTCTCTCTCTCTCTCTCTCTCTCTCTCTCTCTCTCTCTACGATGGAATTCCAAGGCAACATATCCTTTAGAGTTTTTCTTTTTCTTTTTCTTTTCTTTTTCCGTGGTTAAATAGATTTGACAATAACGATATTCTAAACTATTCTAATGTACGAGAAGGAAGTTCAAACTCAAACAAAAGAGGGTCAACTGACCTAAGCCACATTTGCATTCCTTGCTAGAGTTAGACGTTTGACAACTTTGGGGCAATCAATGAGCTGGCTAAAGCGTAGGTAACACAGGATGGTTGGGATAGAATAGAACTACAACTCTTAGGTCCCATTTGGTAAATTTTGTGTTGTAGTGGCCTAAAGGGGTCAGTCATACATAGCAGTAAACCATATTGTCTTTAAAAATGAAATAGAAGTAGAGAAGATTATGTATACGTCTGAGCTATAGACGTGGACAACTCTCAACTGTTGATGCAAGAGAAACTTAATATGCATTGACGCTCGTGAGTAGCTACTCGCAAGTGAATGAATGACCTAAGCACAGCTGGTATGTGTATATGTGTGAGATATGCCAATACACACTGAGACAGTTATCTCTTAATGCATAATAGCAGTGAGCTACCCACTTGGTACTATTTGATTTTGGCTACAGAGCAAAAATCCATACATTGGGTAGAGACCGAAAATGACTGGCCAGAAGCAACAACACCAACAACAACCTAAATATTTACAGCAGATTCTTCTGTCCAAACATGCTTTGATGATATACCATATTAATTTCGATCCCATCCGTTGGATTGCCTCTCCTGATTCTAATCTATGGTTTTGCTTGCCCTCCAAGAAGACCCACATAGCCTTAATAATTGACCATGCTAGATTTTCCACCACCATTACAAAATCAGTAAACAACAAATCACATGATTTAAGGCACTAGGTTGTTGAGGGAGACTACCCTGAAATGAAATGAACAAGCTGCTGCTGAGCCTTTTGGCTTGGATGATATAGGCCAATCTGTTTGCAAGTTCTCTGTTTGTGTGTGTGTGTGGTCAAATCAAGGGCAATTCATAGAGCCTCTATTGTAAGATTTGTAAGATCTCTCCCCAGTCCCCCAAAAAAAAAAAACAAAAAAAAAAATAAAAATGGTTTGCCCCACTTGCTGTCTCTTTTTACCTCTTGTGGGCTTCAATCAGCCATTGATGATTGAGCATATCACAGACCATCTGTCACCAAGTCCTTGTCTGGTTTCATAAACAAACAACTGAGAATCTCTCCATTTCTCTGCTCTGCACCACCCAACCCCACCTCACCCACTGACTAATTAATCTAAATTAATCTAACTTGTTAATTACTTACTTTAACGCTAAATCTGTCTCTAATCATCATTACAAGCCTTTGCTTAATGATGGTGCATTTTGGAACAAACCATATTAACTTACCTGTGCTTTTCTATTATCAAAACCATAATCATTTCATTAAATCCCAAACCAATGAGATGAGGACACACCCAAGGGGAAATGAAGCTCTACTTGCGCAGTTTTTCACAGTTCAATGTCCCCTTCATTATTTGTTTAATCTTGGTCAAGCTTTCTGAAATTTGACCACAGGGCAGCAACTTGCTGCCTGTACTTTGAATTGACGACACGTGCAAATTGTGCGGTTCACAGTGGAAGACGTTGCCTCTCATTTCCTCATGATATGAGCAATTCCAATGTTCTTGCAAATATCATTCCCACTTTAAGCCTTAAAAAAGGGTTTTGAATTATAATCAAATTGGATATAGTGATGGTATCTTGTCTTAATCTAGATGATACATTATCGAATATTGATAATCTGACAACCGAACATTTTTATATCGTCCAAGTAGTTATAGTGAGTGATTGATACGCTAATGCTTTTTTCTAAAATGAATGAATCAAATGATACTCCTTTTTAAAATTGTGAATCTAATTGTCTTCCACCTTTGGACAACATCTCTTTTTCTTTATGTGGCTAACATCTTTAACCTAATGATATAAGCTTTGCTTTTTGTTTTTCCACAAATCTTAGATTGTAAGTGTATGATATAATAAAATTGAAGCTGTCTGTCTGTCTGCTTTATTCTCTCTAAAATGAAAATAGCTTTTCTAACTTTAGTTTGGTGAGCCAAGCCAATGATGTTCAAAGAGAAGCTGATTTTTAAGTAAGTTATCTTATCGGCATCTAAAGCTTTGCTTTAAATCCTTAACTAAAAAAGCATACACTAATGGTCCAATTCCAATATATATAATTTTTTTTGTGAGGGAATCTAGGGTCTACTCTCATAGGGAAGAGGGTCTTAGCTAGCAAGCTTAGGAGTTTGGAGGCTTCCCATGAAAACAAACAACAGTATGTCTAGTTCCTTCCTCTGCCTCCCTGTAAATTAACTAAAACTACTACTAGACAGTAACGTACTTCACTGCAATTAAAAGCACCATCTTCTTCGGATTTGTCTGCTGCTGATAATAAATATATCTAGGTTTTTCCTAGAAAAAAAAAAAAAAAAAAAAAAAAGAAAAAAAAAAAAAAAAAAAAAAAAAGGTTGCATCTGACGTCAATTTGGCCAATGCTTGTTTCAACTTTCTTTATTCCAGACAAAAATCCTTTATTCCAGCTAAAATGAATGACTGCAAGAGGGAGGTGAAATTTTTTGCATACGTCTTCTTTTCTCACTAGCAGTTGTTTACATGATCACATGCAATGGATGACTTCTTCATTCATGTTTTCATATCACGTGTTGCTCATGTGATAAAACGAGTAAGAATGAGAAGATTTTCTTATTACATGTATTGGTCGTACAATGAAACGAAGGGTAAAAATGAGGAATATAATGTAAGTTTACCATCAATTCTAAATGCTAGATTGTTGGTAAATCAAGTGCTTAGAGTAAAGAGCGCAAATTTTACTGCCCAAAATTTGGCATAGTGGGCTTGTAATGTTACTTGTTTTGGCTTTTTTCAAATTGATGCCCTCTTGAGGCAACGCCAATTACACCATACTTCCCAAATGTGTTCAAAGCAAGGCATTGGGATTACCAGATGAATATGCAGAAGAACGTGAGTTTTTAATGAAAGCTTTTTATATATTTCCGAATAAAATTACGACTAATAAAAGTGAGATTGAACAAAGTGCTTTTATACAAAAAGCACCTTTAATCATAAAAAGTCGAGTTTGCATGTACCAGCTAGCACAGACCAGAGGGCAGATAAATAAGTAATCCACAAACTGTCCTTCCAAGCTTCCACCATAAAACAATTTACATATAAGTACCATTGTTTTATATGCACAGCTTTGTGACTGCAAATGTTTTTCTACCAGTCAGACATGGAGCTGAGCTGAACCACCAAGCTCCAATAACCTGGGTGTACATGTACACCCACTCCTCCACTGCAGCCGTTTTGGAGGGGGGAGAGAGAAATTATGCTTTAAACCTTGTACTTAGACCAGACCCAAACTCTTTAGTCACTCTTAACAAGAGAGATTCTTTGGTCCTGCAGGCTGCAGATAGACCAACCACACACACAAAAAAGGTATCTCTATTTTAAGTTTTACTCGATTTCACGTTGATCCACCCTAATGCAGAGGTACCCTTTATTTGTGCATGTGGCTGAATGAATGACTTGATTCACCCGCCGGACCAAAAATTTCTCTCACAATGGACGGTATGAGATGAGACCACCAAAAAAAAAAAAAAAAAAAAAAAAAAAAACAAATTGTAATTATTTGAGTTTTCTTAATTCTTCTGTGTGCTTGGGCCTGAATAACTCTCAATGGGCTTTACGACGCCTAGGCCCAATTATGATACAGCTTAAATGCTTCAATTTGGCGCGAACCCACATGACCGCCGGTTCTGGCCTCGGAGTCAGTCTCCTTCACCTCAGTTCACCATGACCACACTACCAGAAATAACCGATCTCTTCGCCAGGCTCGCTTCCCGCCTCAAATCCCTAAACGACACGTCGTTTTCTCCTCACACTGCCAAAGAAGAACTCGACGAAGCAGCTCTGGACCTCTCTATTTCAAAGCTGAACCAATCTCTGAACCCTAACGGCAATTCTAGGGTTAGGGTTTTGGACACAGTCCTATCTCTAATGTGCTTCAAAGCTCCCCAGGTCAGCTCTCTCAAATTAGGGATTTTTTTAATAGACAAAAAGAATGTTGAAGTTAGGATTTTTCTCATCTCTGTATTTTTGTTGTGGTGTTTAGGTTTTCGATTCGGGCATTGATTATTTAGTGAAGACAATTGTCACCGTTTTGTTGTCTTCCATTCGTTGCAAGGTCCTTCGATCTCCGAAAGATGAGATTTTGCTGATTGGAAGCTCGATTTCTCACCGGGATTGTGGGCATTTGATCGAAGCGGCTGCTGATATTCTTGAGAAATTGGAGGGACATGGTGGGTATACACTCTAATACTAAAATTGGTGTTCAAAATTGTTTCATGTTCTATAACGGAATCTTCTTTTATTATTTAATTCTAAAATGAGTGTTGTTTTCAATGTGTTTGAATTGAAGGTAAGCTTTCGGATTCTTTACTGTGTGCCATTGTAAGAGTTGTGAGTTCAGCATCATTGTACCGGCAGCTGTCAAGACCCGTTCTTGATGTAAAATCAGTGGATGCAAGAAAGACCTTGACTTCAAAGCTTCTCTGTCACTTTCCCAGAGAAAAATCCCTTGACAACAATAAAATACCATTCAGGTTTTTGAAAATGGGCTTTGTCTAGTTTGCAAGTTCCTTCTGCTTTTCTGTGTGTTCTTGTAGTTATAAATGTGGGGATTCTAATTTCTATGCAGATTGCTGTTGTGGTATCTTGACCCACTAATTTTGAAGCGCGATGTTTCAAACATTTTGCAAGAAACCATAGACAGGCCATTTCTTTGTTTGAGTAAGGAATTTCGTGAAAGTAATGATTGGCTCTCTGTTATCACATCCTTGGTACTTTCTCCCATTATGTTTGTTGAGGCCAGAGCTTTGCTGCACCGATGGTTTTTGGTCACGTAAGTCCATTTCTTGTTGACAAGCACGTTTAAGTTCTTTCTGTTGTAAATTTTAACTAATCGTTGGTCACGCTCAAGGAAACTGAAGTTTAGGAAAATTGATTTAATTTGATATGGTATATTAATAGAATCCAGTTTTGCATCAGGGGTCTGGCTTCTGTGCTTGAGCTTCTAATTCAATTGGTTGCAGTGATATTAGATGTGGTTTCAAGACCAATGTTCTGGGACATATCACTGGAAGTGGGAGCAAAGTTGCCATTTTCTAATGCTTATTTCCCATACAACCAACGCTTGCTAAGGATCTTGACTGGACCCCTCTCCCACGAGGGTCTCCTACAATTAGTGCATGAGACAAATGAGCCAGTGCCTTGTGCCCAGAAACAACTTTGTCCAACTTTTAAGCCATCTGCAGTAAAGGTTTCAACAATCGATGACAAATCTCTCTGGTAATTTCTTACCCCATTAGTCCATCTGATAACAGATGGCCTATACACCATCTCAGTCCTACAACCCAAGACTGATCCACAAATGTTGCATGGTAGGTCCCTGGCCATCAACTTCCCAGACTGGTTCTACTTTGCTTCTGCATTGCTCTTCTCGGAGAAAACTTCTCATGACAGTTGTCATCCAGAATGCATGTTGGGGGCATCCAAAGTTGGAAAATCACACTACGAAGAACTACCTTCTATTTCTGCAGCAAGGTACATTGCCTGGATTTTGAGTCCTGTTAGTAAATCTCACCAGGATTCGCTGGCTGATTGTTTGATTAAAACATCAGAGTCTTGGGCTTTTAAGCAATTTGGCTCAGGTTCCCATGAGAAAGAAACATACGGCTACAAGAAAAAACTCAAGAAACAGAAATTCTGTGAAGAGGACTATAGTTCCACAACGGAGTATGATTATCAAGCAGTTGCAGTCTGGCTCAGCGGGTTCAGTAATATGTACACAAGGAATTGCAATGAAACTGTTAACAGTTCAACATCATGTGAAACAAAACGACCCTGTGGTCTTAGTCTGCAGCAAAATGTCCTGTTCCGGAGAATCCCACTAGGCATGTTGCTTGGTTGCCCTCATTATACCAATGAAGATGGATGTGAATTGCTGCTGCATTATGCCACAACTAGTAGAATTTTTCAGTTGAGGGAAACTAACGCTACTGGATTGAAGCATGTAAAATGGAACTCCAAAGGGCATAGGAACTTAGTTACATGGAGTGATGAATGTAATGAAAGGGAAGCTACAGCAGGTGCCTGTCTTGTCTTCAGTTTAACTGATATTATAGAAAGTATGTCTGCTTCACTGTTTGAGACTGAAGAAGCTGGCGTAGACTTTCTCTGCCAGGTGAAAATGCGGATCAGCAAATACTTGATAAAATGCATCAAGAGGTTAATCCAACTCAAAATTGATGACGGAAATTGGGTTGTAATGGATTTCTGCCGTAAATTGGAGAAGTGGAGGCATCAGGGACAAGAAGTATTAGAGCTCCACAAAGATTTAGATGATGTCATTCATGTATTGAGTCAGAGAACATGCTCTGTTTCATCAATGTGAACAAATATTATGCAAAATCGATTTGGCCTTTTGTTTACAAGTTCTTTGCGGCAACTTGTCACAGAAATTTTCTTATCTATCTTAAACACGAACATTACAGATATTTGCTAATACAGCAATTTGGAAACAAAGAGATAAAAAGTAATATCTATTAATTCTCAATTTATTCTTGTAAAGGTAAAGGAATTACATCGCATCGCTTTTCCATAAGCTGTTGTTACATACATTTGGAAATGCTTGCGCAAATCTGAGGACCACAAACTTTGTACGTAGTCCTCCTAGGTGTATCATATCATGTGGAGAGGGAGAGCTTTTCTTGGCTATGTACACAATCACTAAGATGGCAATGAAATTCTTATCTGGTAAAGATAGAACTAATCTGGACTTCATATATGTAGTAATCTACAGAGCCACTGGGTCTTAGCTGCAAACAGCCTCAACCGAGAGCTTTTTCGTACTGCCCGGACAAGGATCTCCTCCAAAAACTTCTGGAGCTACAGTCACTGAGCAGGATTGCTTTCCAATGCAGTTCTGCAGGAGTAAAGAAATTTTAGTTTTTACAGTTATTGAGGAGAATTCAAGTAAGTATCAGCAAAGTGTTGCTGGGCATACCCTTTTAGGAGCATCATACGACTTGTGGGCATGGCAGCTCCCTTCTTGGAAGCTTCCACACGTCCCTCGTGGCAACCCATAGCTAGCAAACTTAATATCAGAGATGACCTGACCAGGTGGACACCATAAATGGGCTTTTGGTCTGTTGAGTTTGCCAGAGGCTAACTTTTGAGAGTTTGTCAATGTTGGTTGCCCTTCAAATATATCAGCACAGACACTTGATGTTCTTCTTTCCACCAAAGATATTTTAGTCGGATCACCACCCCATTCTTCAAACACTACCAATAGATTCCCGCTCGGGGTTAACCACGACCGCGGAACATGATACCTGAAAATAAATAGTTTCACATGACTTCTGTAACTGACAAAACAAAGGTATGACAATGAAGAAGATGAACTTTTCTTACCATCTCTGAGAGGGCTCCCCACAATGTGTTCTGCATTTCTTGTCGTCGTAGGTTCCAGCATAATAGCAATTGCCACAATTACCCCGTGCTGTATATGCAGGCCAGTGGCGTCCAATGCTCTGTCCATTGATCCATATCTGACCTTTTCCCATGCTACTCATATCCAAAGCTAATGGGCCATTACCTGGGGGTGCATTAAAAGTGGCCTGGAAATATCACAACTTAAAATTAATATCTTATCTTTGATGAAGTCCAAAATAAAGATTTACATATAAGAGATGTATTGGGAGAATACTAACCTTGTACCAGGTAAGAGGTTGCTTTTGAGCCATTGATGGTCCTTCTGCCCATTCAACAGAAGAACTCCCACTGACAGTATGAAGGCCTAAAGCTTCACCTTTGAGACCAACCTGCTCAGAAAGCACATGCCAACACACAAGTTATTCTCTAGTTTTCTTTGTCAAAATTTTCAGCATCCTGGCAGGGGAAGCAAGCGGAACAGGAAAGTTGAAGGGCAACAAACCTTGTAGGTCCATTTCCATCGTGACATGTCCCATGTTCCTGAATTCAGACCCTTCAATGTGACTGGGCCTAGAACTCCAGCATTCCATGTCTCAAAGTGAAGACCAACATTCTGATTTTTATTAAACCAAAGAAAAGCAAAAATGTCAATTGCCATATCAATGCATTTAACAACCAAAATCCCATTGGAAGATGGGGGAACTAACCGGAAGACCCACTGAAATGCTAAGTAAAGCAAGCTTATTGATGCCGGATCTCAGCTTCACGTTTTGACTAAATGTTAATTTAGGATTCTCCAATGCCCCATACACGGTTCCTGCAATATAGGTAGACCATTTTATAAAATTTAAATTCATTCAGCAGAAGAAGTAGACGAATTTACACAAAATGTCATCCTCTTTCATGTACCTGATAGCTGACCATTGATGAAAACATGCAAGGCATGACCAGCTGAATAGATGGAAAGAAGAGGTGACTCTCCTCTCTTTATAAATCCTTCATCAGGACTGATTGTGATACTGGTAGCATCAATTTAAATTACCAAGTTAGAAAGAAAAGAAAATCAATAGAAAAACAAGAAAAAATAAGTTTACACAGATTTAGTTCCTTTCCCAAATACATTGAATAAAAGATATAAAAAACTTAAACTCAATCTATGGTTTGTTTAATATACTTACTCTGTCATGTACCACAAGTAGTCTGTAGTATCCCTAGTGACATTTATTTGTTCATACAGCCCGTCCAACGTAGTTGTATCAGATTCATCGGAAGAGGCACTTTCTTCGATGAATGACTGCCAAGGAAGTGCAGATTTTACTGGTGTCATCTTCATCTGCGAGCTTTGGGAACCAAGCTGTACAGATATAACAATCCCAAGTGAATCTCCAAGTAGAAAAGCTTGAACTTTCTAGACTGAAATTAAAAAGTACAATTTGAACGGTGTAGACCGAAATATCCAAACTCCTCACCCTTGCAGTGTTGTAAACTGCAGTTTTGCAGTCAGGGAGAATGCTGATGGACCATGGTGGCAGTTCATATTGCCCATTTCCAAAGCTAACTTTAGCAGAGGATTTTGTGTCATAATTTGCAAGGAATGCAGCACACCCAGACTTTGACTTGAACACATGAGCCTACAAGGATAACAATGAGAACCTTAGCAATTTCAAAGAAGAATAAGATTTATGATATGGTTTTTCTAGCTAGGTAAAAAAAAAACCTTACCTCTTGACTATTTCCAAGTGATGTCACTGAAGGTTCTGCAGACACTAAAGCTGACTCGGATGACTTGATGGCTTTATGTAGATCTCTCAAATGTCCCCACTTTGGTTCCCTTGGTAGTCCTGGCATAGCATAAGGAAACCAATTTTTATCCATGTGAAATATTAAGTTTTTTCACATGTTAAGCATTTTCCTAGTTGGATGTTTGAAAAATTACACAAGTACGTAAAGTGAGGATTATGACTTTATGAGCCAAACTTTATAACAACCTACTCTAGCATGCTAATCTCTATTTACATACCGTATTCGTCTAAAGGGGCGTCGTAATCATAGCTGGTGGCCATGAAAGGACCTCCAGCTGTTCGGCCGAAATTCGTTCCTCCATGGTACTGGAACACAAAGTGGGAGGAAAGAAAACAATGTTTAGAAAGCATAGTCTAGGTGATTAAACACCAGTCAAATACAGTTAACTCGGAAACTAACCATGTAATAGTTCACAAAAGAACCACCCTTCTGTATAAACCTTGCAATTGAAAATGCCAAGTCTTCCGCAGGTCTAGTGGGAACTGCCCCACCAAATTCTGTATACCTGTAAAATACATACAAAGAGGCAGCCTCATCAAAGGACTTGAACAACAATACAAGACAGTACCTACACAATAGTAGGTCTGTGGCAATAAATTTTTGGCCTGTACAGGAAACATGTGTGACTTACCAGCCAGTCCAGACTTCTGTCCACATTTTGGGTTTGTAGTTCTTGTTTGGAGTGAAATTTTCACAGTAGAAACCATTGCAGGTATCGATCTATCACATAATAAATGATGACAAGGTTTTAGTCTAAACTTCTAGAGATGAGGATAGAAATATCTTGAAGCTCTTTTTTTTGTTCTTTGTTGCAATTAATAGCACAATTTATTTGGCAGAACAAACTCAGTTATTGACCAAACCAACCCAAGTTGACTTCCATGTCTTCAGCAGAAAAGTCAGAATTATAAAAAATTTAAACGAATTCATTGACAAACAGAGCTGCAGATCTGGAGAATTAACACATAAAATGGGGACAAGCATTGCCCTGACCACATGAAACAAAAATCTACAGCTTGAGGCCACCAACTTAGTTAAGATGACAACAAACTGCTTAAAAACCCCACCAACAAAGGAGGGTCACACTAAATGAAGAACTATTATGCGATGCTTGTAAAAATTGACAACACAAAGAAGAAAAAAGATAAAAAAGAACTTTGAAAAAATAGGCAGAGTAGCTTACAACTGGATCAGGGGCATCTTCTTGCTTACACATAATCCATGGCACTCCAGTGTTGAGACCCACAGCCATCTGAGCTGCCCATTTGGTATAAGCTTTACCAGGGGCACCAATTTCCCACTCTACTGGTCCAAATTCATTTTCTATCTGTCAAATTTTAAATAAAATAAAAAAGGGTTAATATAGCATTGACTGCCCAATATTTTCCTCAGCAAATAAAACAAAAAGAAACAAACACTGCTCAATTTCTTATAAAATTGGCGCTGGAACTAAAAGCAAATTGAAAACCCAGTTCAAGAAACATGGCAAAGATTAAAACTTCGAACTATTTTTCTCACCTGAGATAGAATTATAGGACCTCCCTGACTTTGAAACAGCTGTTCTGCCTTCATCATACTGACAATCTTCTCCGTAAATTTTTGCATTGCCGCCTGCATAACAGTAATTTAGAAATGAAATCGATAAATTAGAAAATTTAAATATTAAATTATCGAATTAGAAGCAATAGAGGAAATTGAAGATTCCTAAATGCCTAACCTTGAAAGGCTCATTGTCAGTTCTAAAAACAATTCCGGGAACATATTTAAGCCAAACAGGGAATCCCCTGTATCAGAAACAGAGAAAAACCAGAGTAATGAATACGACAAGAACAAAAGCAAGAAAATTTCTGAACTTCAGTCATTGGCTAAACCTAGGTAAAATTTGTTTTTAATATTATATTATTACCCGAAGTTCCATTCAGCACACACATAAGGTCCAATCCGGAGATTAACATATAGGCCTGCTTGGTGTACCAGCTTGATGAACTTAACCAAATCATATCTGTCCTCAAAATAATACTGCAAATTTGAATAAAAAAACAAGTTAAACTTCTAAAAAGTACACACCAGAGCATAACTATATTTGCATTAGGGGAGAGAGAGACAGAGACAGAGAAAATTAAAATGCAATTACTTTTCCTGGAGAAGGTTCATGCC